AATTGACTATTTCAGTGCCTTCCGCGGACATTAAATTGACTATTTCAGTGCCTTCCACTGACATTAAATTGACTATTTCAGTGCCTTCCGCGGACATTAAATTGACTATTTCAGTGCCTTTCACAGACATTAAATTGACTATTTCAGTGCCTTCCGCAGACATTAAATTGACTATTTCAGTGCCTTCCACGGACATTAAATTGACTATTTAAGTGCCTTCCACGGACATTAAATTGACTATTTCAGTGCCTTCCACTGACATTAAATTGACTATTTCAGTGCCTTCCGCGGACATTAAATTGACTATTTCAGTGCCTTCCACGGACATTACATTGACAATTTCAGTGCCTTTCACGGACATTAAATTGACTATTTCAGTGCCTTCCATGGACATTAAATTGACTATTTCAGTGCCTTCCACTGACATTAAATTGACTATTTCAATGCTTTCCACGGACATTAAATTGATTATTTCAGTGCCTTCCACGGACATTAAATTGACTATTTCAGTGCTTTCCAGGGACATTAAATGACTTGTGCCAATTCTGTATAGAACCACATACTGATACATACTACAGTACGTTAGTCACAGACCTATAAAAACACCTGTTGTAGTGGAGCTGATGAACCATCACATCCCGTCAACAGTAAGTATACAGTAAAAGGACAAAATCACTGAAGGACAGGTTTAGAAATCTTAAGTACTGTAATTGATTACAGACTTCAATTTCTTAAAGTGGTGTGTATATAAATCTTTTATCCTCCTCCCCAAGTTAGCATCACAAAGAATTCTCAGCTTTTGAAACACATAAAAATATGACTACAGATACTGTAAAAGAATACATTTTGATGGGGCTCAAATTTTGTGGCTTTTCAAAAGAACACAATTTATTTGATTTCCATTTTGGAGGATAAACTTTAATAAAAACATCCAATAATAAAAACCATGTGAATTTTGAACTGTTTACCATTTCAGGTCCTACCTACAGGTTACCAGCCTCCTTTCACATTATTCATTAGTCAAGATCAATGAGGTTGACGTGATTTGGCAAACTGGAGTCCTAAAGTAACTATATTATATAGAATGTTGTAAAATGTGTCTGTGTATTACACACAGACTTATCTGTAGCCCTCAACACAGGATCTGTGTACAATAAATATTTTCTTTTTGAAGAATTTCGAGGCAATCTGCCCCTCTATCACGACATGCCTTAAACAAATAAAATGTTACAAACTACCTTTCAGAAAAAATAGCGTAAACCGTCCCCAAAATCCTAGAAAATGTGACCGTTTTCTTGTCCATGTTGTTGTTATTACTTCATTGATCACACATCTATATACTAGTGATACGAATCAGACAAACGTTTGTTAGAAACCTGTATTAATATTGAACCATACTGACGATAAAACTGTCAAAACTCTTACATAGATATATAGACTTAACAAAAACTTTTACTCTCCAGGAAGTTGACATAAAAGGACATCATTCTGTGATTTCCAGCTAAAGATCTAACAATTGTCTCCTGTGAGAGTTAGATTATAAAAACTCTTCAAGGTTACGGCTGGGAACAGAAAGTTACAAAATAAATCAGTGTGTAAGTTCCTGATCTAGATTTCACACCAACTTCTACCCTTAAAACTGCCATTCAATATTCTGAATCTATTCACGACATGTTTTTCATCTTACTGCTGACAAAGTCCCTGATCTGACATTTTCTAACTTGTTGTAATATCTAGTAGATCCCAAACCCTCTGTAAATGTGAATTATCAATCTCTTACTACTGTTACATCAGTATTTTTTATCTTTCCTTGTTTTTTAAACAGGGATCTGTGCCAATTTAATGAAAGAGAAATAAAAAAAAGGGCATCCCCGACACTCCACACACAAACATAAAAAGTAAAGACACAAGCAATATTGGGTATTTTAAGACATTAATCAACCTTTAAAGTCGATAAAATATCAACCTTTAAAGAGTAAACTATCTATAGCCTAACCAACAAAGTCTGGTAATCTCCCTACCACAGCTGCCCTCCTCCCCCTCCCCACTCGGCTGCCCTCCTCCCCTCCCCACTCGGCTGCCCTCCTCCCCCTCCCCACTCGGCTGCCCTCCTACCCCTCGCCACACGCTGCCCTCTTCCTCCTTCCCACTCAGCTGCCCTCCTTCCCCTCCCCACTCCGCTGCCCTCCTCCCCTCCCCACTCCGCTGCCCTCCTCCCCCTCCCCACTCGACAGGTCCCCCTAGGCTCTCCAGTACATCTGACATATTTCCCACGCTTCTACTATATACCAGAGTAAGTTTGGGTGATATTTTGGAAAATGTCAAAACACACCATTTTATGTAGATATCAGAGTTCGCTGTCGATCATGCTTAGTCAACGCAGCGAAAACCTAAACACATCATTTCCTCTATAATTAATACTAGACTTAAAATGTAAATGTCACTTTGTAGAAAATAGCAATCTTCTGATAGTCTTCATACACAATGATGTTGTTGGTATACTGGACAATAAGTGGAGGTCCAGTTTTGTATCAAGTTGACAGTGCTTGTCACGATGGTGTAGTGTTGTAGCTGTAACAACCACCAGTCTATGTGTAGGAGTAGAGGACCCTAGGGCATGTGTTCCTCCCAGTAGGGGTAAACACTAGGGCTGTGACAAGTTTCAACAGCTTTATGGAATTACAAAACTTTGAAAGTATTTCTTACTTTAACACAAAACACAAATATGCACATTCTGTGTGTGCATGTTCAGAAATGAGAATATATTTATGCAAATAATCTCATTTCAAAACATGGTATACTATCTAAAATCATTTTGAAAACAAAATAGATTGACACATGTTTATCCACTTTATCAGCTATCAACAAGTGAATACTCTCCCTAAAGGTAAATAACTTCATTTTTTTGTGGTATCTTAATTTTGTTTTGAAATTTTGATGATTTTGACAATAAGATGGTAATAATAATTATTTCTTCAGAAAATCAAACTTCTTAGAATGTTGTAAAGCTGACAAAACTTTGTAGTATAAATAAAGTTGTGTAATTACTAGCTATACACAGTAGAATCATTGTCCACAAATATCAAACATATTAAATATTTTGAAATTATGTGATAAACACAACAGGATGCAGTAGTTTTAGTGTAATGTTAGATTACATCATGTAGTTCATATCAGGGTTGGACAAAAATGTCTCAGAAAATTTGGTCAATCCCTGCTTTCTACTAAAAATTCCTTATGACAAATTTTATGTCACACTTGCCAATTTTTTTGCAATATTTTTGGAATGTGCATATTGTAAATGTCAAACATCATAAATTCTAAAAGCATGTCTGTCATTTCTTGATGTTCTATTACAGTTATAGATAAAGACTTTGTCTGAAGCTGCTTGTCTCTTGGACTTGGTAAACTTTGTCTGAAGCTGCTTGTTCTCTTGGACTTGGTAAACTTTCAAAATTTTGAAGATAAACTAGAAATCATTATGATAAAATTCCTGTTTAAAGTTTTGGCTCAGAATTAGAAGTCTTCAACATGGCAACTACATTCTGTAGTTGTCTGATCTCTTCAAATTTTCCATTGAAAAGACAGTGTGAATTATTGAGGAGGAAAATTATACTGAAATTATTTCACCAGCAAAATTACAGCAATCAGAGGTTCTTTAAAAAGTAAAAAAAATCTCGACAATGAAATACTGAAAACCAAATTACGTATTTTATTCAGGTCCCCAAAAGTGAACTTTAGACACAGGGCAACATTCCACCTCTGGTGGACAGCTGTTCTATTTGGACAGATAGCCATCTCTACAATGTGTTTATTCTGCCTGAAGAAACTCAATATTCAATTGGAGGCATTGTGAAGGCCACGAAGCAAGAGAATCGGTGTGTCATTGTCACGGTAAAATTCGGGAGTTACCTGACGATCTGGCGAGACAAGATTGATATCGTTCTCGTTAACAGGTAACTTCACAGATTTAGGTGCGTGTGTTCAGGTGAATGATAATTGCTGACATGGCAAGAGATCACATTTTTTTAGAGGCAAAAAAGTGTGTTGAGCTACATACAACATGAAGGCCTGTACACAGATACATGGATTCCATCATAAAATGTGATTGAATATATACAGCTACTGTTAAAATTTTGAAGTTTATATATTCATATATAGGGATCAGCGTTATGGGTAAAGCCCTTGCAAAAAACATGCAAACTATTGATTTGGGGAGTTTTCCTGATTTTTCATCATTACTGAAAGCTATATGGTGAAGAATGAAGATTTTTGTAATTCAGAATGTATGATAATGGTATATCAATAACACTTAAAACATTCAATCTTTTGTTTTTTTTTCGCATTCTCCTATCAAGTGATTTCAATAACATTACTAGTAATGATGATCAGCTGGACACCTTTCATAAGTCAATCATGACTTGGTTAATTATTACAACAACCCTAGAAATTCATTGCCAGAACGATGCATCCATAACAATACTCTAATAGTTCAAAAAAACATAGATCACCGTATCTTGTGTGACCTTGATCAAGGTCAAATAAATCAACACTCAATAACTCAAAGATCACTTTCTATCAATTGATAGTCACTTGACCTTGATCAAAGATCATACACTTCGGTACGACTTTCATCAGAGGTCAAATCAGCCACTCTTAGAACTACATGTAGTCCAGTAACACATTCACCAAAACAGTGAGATGTTATTGCACATTAATTCTTAATTTCCACGACCTTCAGCTAACACCTCGCTAACGATAATGATCAAATCATTTGAAATTATTTCCATAAAAAGTAAAAACTTTCACCACAAGCAACTACATAATCAAAACTTACAGGATAATATGACCTCCAAGAAAGGTCATTTCATATCCAAATGACCTTGAACTCCACGTATTGGTATTAGTCACATACATTTCGTTGGTGTTTTTTGTCAAGTGTACTTGTTGTACACAATATCATGTAAAAACTTAATAGTGAAAGTCGACTATGTACTTACCACTAGACCAGTTATATAGTTCGGCAGAATCTCAGTCAAGTCTGAGGAGGAGGTTATATTCCCTATGAGGAAATGGACAGCAATAGTTACAAGTCCCAAGATGGCTATGATCATCCCAAGTGCCATGAATATCCAAAGCCTTCGAAACACTGGTGCATTCATCATGACTTTTTTATGACCTCGTTCACGTCTTTCGTGTGACATTGTGTCGTAGTAGACAAATAGACTTTTAAATTGTGTTAATTAAACGCCTATTACAACATCAAATCAATTGGTTATCAGCTGTTCATGTGATGCTCCTCTGTTTTCAATAAAGTGTTGAATTTCAAGGTAACTAAGACGGTGTTGTTTAATTGAAAACTCCTCATGTTCATTTGCCAGTAAGTAATCATTCGAGGGTGAATGTTAACATTTTTCATAATTTAATGAAACATCGTCGCTGTTGCATATCGTCTCTTTAAAGTTCCACGTGTATACACGTTAAGAATGATGCCGAGACGACCCCTCGAGCGGCCAAGCGTGCCTGTCAACACACAGGAGTAGAAATGAATGGGAGACAAAAAGTTTCATCCACAGTTGTAAATATAAGAAAAAGAACGTCATACATCACCAACTGTTCACATATTCACGGAATGCCACAACGAAAAAAAATACGAGTTCCAAACCACGAATATTCCCGGTGACACCACGAGAAACTTCTGTTGTCGCAGTCCCTCTTTCACAACACTGACTGCAGCGAGTGCCATCCCTCGAACTAGGGGATAAAAACCCAGTCGTCTGCTGTTTGTATGACAAAGGGGTCGAGGCTTTTATCGGCATCAGTCATGCGGTTCATTCCTATGCACATTAGGTTATCACAGTCATCCAGGCAAAACTTTTCCCATTTCACTTTTAAGTTTTTAACCAGCACGAGTTCGGCACATTTCTCGCGTCAGTCGGCACGCGGGGTTACGCGCGGTTTGTTGTCTCGTGTTTACAGTGTCAAATCTCGTCATTACATCTCGAGATTTTGATAAATTAACGGGAATGCCACAGGGACCACTTTGTCAAAAGCTGAGAAAACTAGAAGGCATTTATAGAGAGCTAATGTAATTCGTAAGTAGTGCGATAAAAACAAACAACAGCGGCATTTGATTCTTGAACAGTCTAATATCACAACATTTAAGTTGAAAGTTGTGAACATTGTGAACCCCTGGGCCCCTCCCGAATGTTTAAGTTTCCTGATGAAATCGGCAGATAAGGGACAGCGGTACTGCATGTTATACTCCGTATGGCACTGACATGATCACGTGACACTCCGACCATGCAAGCTATGTGGACCATGACAAGTATCGCAGACTCAGTAATTACAGAAACATGTTAATCTCTTAGGGGAATTATAATTAGTCAAATTACCATATCTCTCACGATTCGCAAGTAGTTTCCGTGCGACCAAATGAAAAATTCATAGAGGTAACTGTTATGTCGGAATTAAGGTGTTGCAGAGACAAAAAAATATTGGACAAAGAATGATGAACGGAGAACAAAGAACGTTGTTTTAAAGACCTAAAATATTTGGACGTATGCACATATTTTTTTCTATAATTAGAACAACATCACACGCCAATTAGTGTAATCCGACTTATCCTGACTTGTATCAGTTTTATTTAATATATAACATGAAATAGGCACTGCTTAAAAGGGAACGCAAGTTGGTCAACAAGATGCACATTTTGAACTGCCTGATCCATGTTTGCACTGAAGCGCGGATTTAAAATGTGTTTGGTATTTCGAAAGATTTTAACAAAACATCAGTATATGTATGTGTGCGTCATCATCATCATCATCATCATCATCATCATCATCATCATCATCATCATCATCATCATCATCATCATCATGTCTTCTTCTTCTCCAAGAAAACAATGGATCGTCATGACCAGGCGGTGGTTTTGGTAACACAGTTGTAACACAGTTGTCTTTCACCTAGCCGTCCGGAGTTCGATTCCTTGAAGGGATACGGACTTCCTCCCATAGTTAGACCCCCCCCCCCCCCCCCCCCCGCATGTTAACAACAATAATAATAATGTTTCCAAATAAACGAGCCATACACATACAAGGATACAACATGAAGACGAAGAAGAAAACAAAAGACGACAAGATAACACAAAGCTTGACGTATTCCCGCACCTTGCTGTTTAAAAGAAACAACCCCCCCCCCCCACACACACACACACATACACACACAAACAACCCCCCCACACACACACACACACCCACCCACACACACACACACACACACACACACCACCACCACCACCACCACCACACACACACTGGTATATATATATATATATATGTATGTCAATATTACATCAAGTTGAATAACTATTTTTTATTTTTTAAATATTCCATACAAAGTATTGAAATTGAGAACTTCTACTAGAGTACTAGCTTGATGTCTGTTCAAAGTTTTGAGTACTGGGTAATTACCTTGAAATTTGTGATAAGGGTTATCTATTTCCATGGTAACAGAAAATGTGTGTATAAAGTCTTTAACAACATATATAGACTTTAAAAATTGAAATAAAAAATCTTCAAAATAAATGTACATGAGTTTCCCTTTCAGAGTAAGAGAGATTGCAGAGATGACCAACTTTCATGCTTTAAACTGTAAGAAATGAGTTTGTAGTCAAAATATGGCTAAAGACAATACAGTTGTATTCGGATTTGTAAAGGTGGTTATATGTTTAACCAGTTTTCATTATTAAAATCAGAATGTTCTCACCCACTGTTTCCTTTCCTCTTTGCTATGGATTTTTTTGTTCCGTTAATTAACAAATCATAAAATGCTTTAGAACCTTCAGTTTTTTAAGCAATGCCAACTAACATTGTCATTCAGAAAATCAATATAAATATATATATTTAAATGAATTAGTCATGAAAAATTCTTATTAAAGTCACCAATATTACAAAAACTGCCTTTTTCTGTCACAGCTAATACTTATCTTATCATTGTGCCCTATAAGTGTTTGCTGACCAACTTGCGTTCGCTTTTAGGCAGTGCCTATTTCATATCAAATAATTTCAAACAGTTATCGGAAGAACATCCACATCTTGCAGTTTTAATGTAGTTAGCCGACGGGGCGGATGTTTACGCCATAGTAGGACCTTTCGGCCACTTCCGTGTAAAAGACGACGTATTTTTCGTTCGCGGAAAGTAACGAAAGTTGCCGGCGCTTAAACCGGAAATCAGGTACATAGGAGAACAAACGTGCCCTAATCGTGAATGTATACAGTTTTAATTTTTCAACGAGATATTTTTATATATAATAATGATAATAATAATTCTGGACGCAGGCTTTTAAAGCCTATATATATCCAGATCTGAGTTATCCAGTTTCCCGAAGATGAATAAGTTTGTTATTGTCTATTTCATGATTGTAGCCTAAATGCAATCGGAATTTCTCCAATGTTTATCCAATCGGGATTCAAATGTTTTGACTGTTGGTGACATGACAACGGCATCAGGAAGGGAGTTCCAGAAGTTAACCACCCGCTTACTGAAGGAGTACTTTCTCAAATTCAGTCTGCTTCTCCTTTTTAATAAAGAAAGACTGTGTCCTCGTGTTATTTTGTTAATGTTCGGGACCAGTAAACCCTCAGAGACAGCACTATCATATCCTCCATGTGTTAGCTTGTATACTTGGATCATGTCTCCTCTCAATCTTCTGTGCCTCAGTGTCGGTAATTTAAGGATCCTCTAGCCTGCTCTCATAGCTTAGGTCTTTCATTCCCGGTATTTGTTTCGTTGCTCTCCTTTGTACATTTTCCAACTCATTTATATCTTTTTGCATATAGGGATTCCATACACAGGAACCATATTCCAGGTGCGGACGTACAAGCGCTTTATATAATAAACAAAATGTTTTATTGTCTAAATATGTGTACGTTCTTCGGATAGTTCCCATTATTCTATTGGCTTTGTTGACTGCATCGTGAATATGTGAAATTGAGGTTGTAATCTGTTATGATTCCAAGATCCTTTTCTTTCGTTATACACTGTAATGTAGCCTCGACTCTTTCGCTTTCCTCGTCTTTATATAAATGTAATGGTATATTATGGTTTTTCTTTCCTACCTGCATAACTTTGTCATGGTGAAATTTTAGGAACCATGTATCCGACCTATTTTGAAGCTTATCTAAATCTTCCTGAAGATTTTCGTATCATATGCATTTCAAACAAATAAAATATGTGTTTGTTAAATTCATTTAAATAATTTAATACTTTTAGTTTGATTTCATTTCCACATGACAGCTTAAAAAGACATTATGTCGGTCAAAATCATTTTTAATCCATTGAACGGGTGGGTCGACAGTTCTCATTGCGTGCTGCGGTAAGTGTATTGTGGGTAATGCAGTTCCAGCCACACTTCCGTTTAAAGTTGATTGTATGGACAGGTCGTTGGAGTTGAATTACCATAAAGCGCTCGCTGCACTCGCTATAGATGAAGACAATGCACAAGGTTCCAGATTTGTATTACCTGTGGTAGTTGTACCCAAGTTATATATATATACGGTCGTAAATATATAATGATATGAAAACGCTTATGCATTACTAATCAGACGTGTGATAAATTTTATTATTTATCCATACTTATATCGACGCCAGGATATCAAAAAGGCGATAGAACGTCAGAATCAATTGGACATGGTTTATATATTGTTTGTAAGAATAACATAGAGACAAATTTCTGTACCCCAAATACGTGATGTCAAATTGCTTTATGGTTTGTACAGAGGATGAAAGTTGCAGGAATTTGAGGTCAGTGCTGGCAAAGTGCAGGAATTCGGGGTCAGTGCTGGAAAAGTGCAGGAATTCGGGGTCAGTGCTGGAAAAGTGCAGGAATTCGGGGTCAGTGCTGGCAAAGTGCAGGAATTCGGGGTTAGTGCTGGAAAAGTGCAGGAATTCGGGGTCAGTGCTGGGAAAGTGCAGGAATTCGGGGTCAGTGCTGGCAAAGTGCAGGAATTCGGGGTCAGTGCTGGCAAAGTGCAGGAATTCGGGGTCAGTGCTGGAAAAGTGCAGGAATTCGTGGTCAGTGCTGGCAAAGTGCAGGAATTCGTGGTCAGTGCTGGAAAAGTGCAGGAATTCGTGGTCAGTGCTGGCAAAGTGCAGGAATTCGGGGTCAGTGCTGGAAAAGTGCAGGAATTCGCGGTCAGTGCCGGAAAAGTGCCGGAATTCGGGGTCAATACTGGAAAAGTGCAGGAATTCGCGGTCAGTGCTGGAAAGTAGTGCTTTAACTTGGGGTCAGTGCTGTAAAAGTGATGGATTTCATAGGTCTTGCTGTAAACATACAATTCCTCCAGTGAGAAGAAAATTAACAAAAAATTTGTTTCAAAGACGGAATATTGAAGTTGGCTTATTATTAAATAAAAGAAATGAAATACACGACACCATGTTTGACTGTTCTTTTCTGTGTTCTTTTGCGTTATTTCAATCCCGTTAAAGTTGAAAGAAATCCTTATTCCTTGCAAGTTTGTACAAAAAATGCATCCGGAAGACAGGGAAAAAATGCTGGAAAAGTGCTTGAATCTTGGTATAAAAAATCTGTACAAACATTGTGCTTGCTGTTGAGATAATGTGAAATTACAGGATACTAACTACATACTAACAGGGAAGCATTTCATCACAGATTTACACCCAGCCCGACAAGCTCGACCAATCAAAGCAAACATGAATGTGTGTTTCCTCCGCATCACAGACCAGTCAACACGAAAAAGGAACGCGTGTTTCCCTCGTATCCTTGACCAATTAACACAATGAATGAAACGTGTCCCCCCACCCATAACACGACAAACGAACGTGGTATTTTCAAACAAACACAATTCGTTATATTGAACACGTGTACCCAGAATCCGCCATCAACTAACACTACCCGTGTTTGCTGACCCTGACCACCACCGCTGCTTGTAAATCTACATACCTTACTTGGCATGTCATGGCCAAGCTATGGTCCTATTGTAACTCCTTGTGTTGGTGACCTTGACCTCCTGTCTAAATGTTGTATACACACATCACGTCGTTGTGTAATCTACATACAGGTATATTCCGACTTACTGCTGCAACTATGCTTTCATATTTGTATGCAATAATCAGCGACCCGTCATATCGACTTTTGCGTGTTATTTCTTTCTCATCACTGCAGCGGTCAGCCACAGCAGCAGACTGAGTTCTGAAAATACAATACGTTTTTAAAATATATATTACTTTGATATTCTAAAATATACTGATAATGGGACATATGGACATGTACCAGTTAACGCTTTATTACCTTTATAACAGAATCATTATTTATTATAATATCTCCGTTAGGATTCGAACACAGATCTCCGACTTACTAGTCTAACGCCCTTTCTTGCCGATCGACTTATTGCGGCTAGTAATTACCATGGTTACACCTGCACGTGACGTAAAAAAAACTTATGACGTGCCGTTTATTTTTTTCCTGCTATTAAAAATTCCATTCGTAAATAAATACAATATGTACTGAATCGGCACCTGATAAATCATCGGTATTCCAGGGTTTACAGTCATATTCGCTCTCTGCACCCGTGAAACATTTTATGGCAAGACTGAAGGTCCCATTTACGACACCTTGTGGACAAGACGAAAAAAAAGTTTGATCCTTTGATGTACATCAATTGAATTTCGAGGTCGCATAACTGTATATTGTAATGGCTTTGAAGTTGGATATTGCTCCTTTGAAATCTACAAATGGAGCGTATCAGCTTGTGATTGGTCAGTTTTTTTCTCGTGAAACCAATCAAATTACTTCGCTTGTGCCTTCAATCTTGCCATGACATGTTTCACGTGTGCAGATAGCGAAATTGATCGTAACCACTGGACTATCGAGGATGCGAATTTGGATGCATCCGTGAATTTTTTTTTTCAATTTTAGCAACTGTATAGAAGTTAAAGGGTAACTATTATCACATAGGTTACCTTATTGGCAAGGACTCCAGCCGACTGAGTACATTAGGTAATTAAGATATGTTACTTGATCAATTGGTAGAAAAGGAAATTCTTGAATGCGATATTTTGGTCTATCAGAGTTACTTCCCATCGTTTAGATAGTATTCATCCAATGAGGCGACTAATGTGGAGTTATCGCTTTCCGTTTGTCATTACGTTTCTATAGAGATGAAATGTTCAGGTACCCAATGGTAAATCAAATCTGAATTCGTGGCCAAAAGAGGTTCCATAACTAGTAACCCGAGATTTTGCCCGCCCTTTTATCAAACTATGGACATGATGACGTACACCGGACGTAGCTGTCCGCCATAGTGACTAACGTCGGGTGTTGGGACCAGAGGAAACTCGTGCTACATATCTGGGGACTGCTTTACGACTTTTATCAATATATCGTTTATTTGTTGATTTACGTCCTATTAACAGCCAGGGTCATCAACGTATCAGTGTGATCTATAATTTCCTGGTGAGTTCTGAATCTTGTGATTTTTGGACTCCAGCTTCTTGGTGAAATGTCTTTCCCACTCTGTTTAACGGTCAAACTGTGTTCCTGTCCCAGTCAGTGATACATGCATTATTGATGTTTATAGTAGTAACACCTGGCCAACTTATTACGGCTCGCCTACTTTTAGTCTGGAAGACCTCATAGCCCGGTTATCGTTATGTAAAGATCAGTCACTTACAATATTCACCAAACAAAAAAAGAGGACAGTTCGTCAAGCGTTTGGTTTGTCAGTAACTTCTACAACTAAATTAACAAAAGACGATATAGAATAAAAAAAAAAGCAGATCATTTTGATCAAATTTCAAAATGACATGCGATGAATCTGCATTTGACAATTTTTTGTAACACATCACCGCCAGTATGGCTATCGCACTGACAGTAACAGAGCATGCATCCTTATACAAACGATGCACACGGCACAGGTTTGGTCCCAGTTTCCAACCTCACCACAGTACTTGTACTACCACATTGAGCGTTAAGCTTGGATCATACGGGTAAACAGTTGTTCGTTGAAGTGTTTACAATTGTTGGTTTCAAGTCATCATACCTGGTCGTTGTTCCACTTGACATGACCTTTATACGTTAAATGGGAATCAGTCACAAGATAAATTGGTATTAAATTTAAAAAATTTCACAAACAATTTCATTGCACTGATCACGTTTTAAGTGGACCTTGATAAATCAATATAACTAATAATGAAAACAGATCTCACTGATGGAATCTCCAACGTGATCTTGAATATGGCTCAAGGTAAGATATTATCGCTAAGTGGGCACCCGCCAGCCATGATCCTTAGGCTTCTAGACTCTGTGTCCAGGAATATTCCGGTCGTAAGGTATCGCTATTCTGACTTTTCGGTTTTAACAAATTTGACCGATTTCTTCCTTTTTTAATCAGTTTGCACATATTCAAGAACATTTTGGTTTATTTGCTTTTTATTTGAAAGGCTTTCATGCGTTGTGGCGAAATGAAAAATCGAAGTAATTAAACCGACCGGGGTTGTCTTCCTTGGCCGTGAAGGAACACTGAAATGAACAACTTGTATTTCTCAATACAGTGACTTGTTACTGTTTACGATACAAAATTAGCGTTCACTTTTACAACAGTAATTATCAAATATGTATTATACCGCCTCGAACTAAATGTGTGGTAATGAAATATCATGTCGGGATCGTGGACAAGGGCAACACCTTGTGTATGCGCAGGTCTGACCATGAAATGGCGAGGAAGAAAAAACGGTATGGCAGCATTCATGAATAATTCATATAGAAGACTTACATGCATTTGCTCAACAAGTCTAGTTCTTAACTTATTTATAAGAAGTAAAGTTCGAGCTGAACAAAAAGTTGATTTTAAATTCATTATCATATGATTGTTTATAATGTCACATTAGTATCTACTATATTATACCCCAACGAGCGGGTGATCAATATTAAAAAATTTGATCATATCTATATTAATGTGATCAATATTTTGCTATGAAGAAATCTACAACTATACATATATATTTTTACCAAAATAATGTCTAACTGAATTACTTTTTTCTTGTGATTATAATTTATTAATTTTATTAAGCTATAGCGATTTTTATTCGTTCTATCACCTCACTTTCAGTTGTGTTATAAACTCATTTTGATGTTGATGCAATGCCTTATACATTACACATGTTCTGTTCCTTTTATTTCAATATACCTACTGTGATGTTGCTCTTAGTGTTATATTTTTAAGATTTGTCGTAAAATAGTTCTTCTGAGCTAATGTTACATTGTATACGATAGAAAATTCAAATTTCTTGTATCTTGTACAACCGTATTAACATAATCGGGTACATCACTTCGACAAAACATGGTATATACATTTTATATTCATAGTTTTATATAATATACCGACGGCGTCTTGTGTTTTAATAGTAAGTGATTTAATGACCACATTCGTTGTATATACCCACCAGAACTGGAAATCACGACAGATTCCACTACATTAGCCGCTTATCTCGATCTTGACCTACCAAACAAACATGGACATATACACCATTCCACTAAGCGATAAAACAAACGTGATGATTTAAATTTCACTATTTCTAATTTTCCTTTTCTTGATAGCAAGGTACCTGCATCCCCAGCATATGGTATTTATATGTCATAGTTGATTCCGATATTCAAGGGCCTATTCCTACTGGTGGACAAACTCGTAACACAGGTTGTCAAAAAGATGCAAGTTATAGGGCAGTTTCAAGGTCGTCATAGTGATCTCATGGAGAAAAATTCTATTTCTTTATGTCATGTGAAGCTGGTCGTATTTGAAGCTCGTTATTTTGCCTGTTGGTTCCGTTGTTGTATACCTTGTTCTCATTCGAGAACATGACATTTCTTACTTGGATTGGTCCAGATTTATATGGCGAATATCGCCGTTGAAGCAGAAGACGCTTACTCCTCAGGAACACGTGGTCTTATTGTTCATGTACATTATCAGGAGTCTATATAAATCTTCTTTTGTACATTTTTTGCCTTTTATAGAACTTGAATTATAATTATGTTGAAATGTTGAATGTTTTTTATGCTCCTTGATTGAGAGACCGGGGCATATTTCTTTTTGCTGTTTGTCTGTTGTCACCTTTAACCTTGGCCATAACCGTGAGAGGTAGGGCTTTCATATTTGATATGTGGTTCCTTATGACAAGACCTTTCTTTTGACCATGTGACCCTGACAGTGGGCGAGAATAATAATCTGAAAATTCACTGTTGTAATTACATAAGACGGATCTGGCTATTGATTCATATGCAGCAAGATCCCTTAATTCATTGATATTTTCCAAGTTAGAATTTGAAAAATTAAACACAAGTTACCTTTACAATCAGTCTCAAGACTGCACATGGTAAGAAAGCATCAGCGAAAACCTAGCTTATGAAATTTTGTTAGATAATTTGTGCCTTGTTCACTCGAAATCCTGGATCCAACCTGTTTTCAGATGTACCAACCAACCAGTGACATTTGTTTCCAACTGTTATACTAAGCATGGCCTTTAGATTATGCTACGTCAGATTTTTCATTTCAGTTTGTTTTTTCATTATATTTGATGATCTACAGAAGGAATCTGCATTAAACTTTTGAACATGTTAAGTATGGGTATTGTTTGTTTCCTGCATGGTGACCTTTATAAGATTATCAACATGGCCGCCAGTGCTAATTTTGCTTCCAGTCTAATAGATTTTAGTATGTTATTTCTTAGGAACAACAGAAAGGATCTTCTCAAATGTTTATTTCACATGTTAGATGTATGATCCAAATTGTGAATGATGGAATATTCAAGATGACTGTCTGCTGCCATTTTGGATTCTAAATTTTGATTGGCATTGTCCCATCCTAAGAAATACAAGGAACCCTTATGGACATGTTTGGTATCATGTTGTTTTTTTGTGTGACACATTAAGAGCTCCACCAGCTATGGTAGCCATTGGTGGAATTTCAGGTTTGGGTTTTTTTTTTAAGTTGGGTTATATTTAACCAAAGAAATACTGAAGGGACAAGAAATTTCAACATATGTCTTAGTTATCTTATATAGCTATATTTACAATCTGTCAAAATAACCACAACATATATAATCTTCATAACTAACACATAATTAAAGAACAAATGACAAAGAGACATTTATTTTTAGATTTGATATTTAATGTTTGAAAGGCAAATGTAAGGAAGACAGCTAATCCAAAATTTTTCAGATTAAATCTTTTTATTCTGGGTATAATTGGATCTGTTGATAAAGGTGTTTTCATTCTGTTTAGCCAAGGTATTCTCACAACAATGGATAATAATTTATCACTGAAAACAAAAACATTTCAATTTTGGTTTAATCTACTTTGTAACCTATGTGTAACTAAAAACACAAAAACAATATAATACAACAATTTTGTGCATCTGACTTCAGTAATGAGATTTGTAAGTATTTATATTTTATTGTCATTGTTGTTTTATAAAAGTCATCATTCAGAAGATGACAAATCACATATATCACAATCCATCACTGTTATTACATTTTCCTGTATCTACCAATCAGAATCTTCTTTAAACAAAATAAACTTGTATCCACCAATCAGAATCTTCTTTAAACAAAATAAACTTGTATCCACCAATCAGAATCTTCTTTAAACAAAATAAACTAGTATCCACCAATCAGAATCTTCTTCAAACAAAATAAACTAGTATCCACCAATCAGAATCTTCTTTAAACAAAATAAACTAGTATCCACCAATCAGAATCTTCTTTAAACAAAATATCAAGATGTAATAAATCCACAACTATCTCAATATTTTACCACAAAGGCTTTAATCAATGATTAAAGTGGACATATTTCTATTTTAGATGTACACTGTGTTTTTTTATTTAAAAGTATGACTTTTTGTTAAAAGAGAAATGTTCTGAATCTGTCAGAAAACATAAGCTTATATAATTTTGCATAAAATCAAATGAAGGTTATTCAAAATAAAAAAATTGAAGTATAAGTTGGAAGCTGTGATTTTATGGAATTTACAGCAAATTCCTTCATTACATCTGTAAAGTGTATTTAACTTTATATGAATTCTTGATGTACTTACTCAACAGCAGATGTTAAATATTTAGTATAAGACACAATATTTGCAAATTCTAAGCCAAAAGCATGTTAAAATACCACAAAAAACCTCTTAGAAGAAAAATTGCTGAAAAAAATCTGGTTGAAATGTTATCATCAATTAAGACTTCATTATTGACTAAAGGTCATGACCCAGTGACCCTGACAATCCTGTCCTTAGCCTGGAGGCCAACTCATCTGCCGTCCACCCATCACATGAATATGGATATGAAACACAGACTGGGCACCATCTCTTCCGTTGTTGATCACCAGGCGGTAGCCATTAGTCAGCCCTTGTTCCTTAGCAACCTTCTTAGCAACCAGCATCATGTGACCCAGTAACTACGGAGATAAAAATCCCATGTATACCTTGAAAGTACATTTACATATATTTAATGATATTTCAGAGGAATTCTTTGTCATTTTTTGTTGAAATTTTTGTGCTAAATTATTAATGCTCTTCTTGTAGTTTTGAGATAAAATGTTGGCCAACTTGTAATTTGTCAATGTCAGATATCTGTATCAAGTTACTGCATTAATTATCCATCATTTGTGTTTTACAAAATATTTGTTGATCAGAAATACAAACAATAAATATCTGATTCTTTTTTACCATTCAGTAATGGTAATCTACATCAGTGAACTACCCTGGTAATTCTACCCAAAACCCTGAAAGTAAGTTAAACCCCAACCAATCTTTTTATCTGTAGAGAAGTTTCACCTGTTCATCATCCTGTGTAGCATCATCTATTGTGGCAATCGCTTTACGGGGGATGACAAGGAAGTGGACTGGTGCCTGTGGGTTCACGTCATTGAAGGCCACACACTGTTGAAAAACAAGGGAGATAATCTAATAAATTACAAGGAACACGGGAAGTTCATGTACTATAGATATATTATTCTGGTCTCAGTTGATGTTTGTAAGGGTAACCTATACATAATGTTTATACTTAAACTTTAAGTGATGATCTGATTGATTAAAAACCTAAAAAAAAAAAAAAAAAAGATTATTAAACACAATTTAAAAATATCCAACTCTTGGAATATCAGTTTTAAACAAGCACAGGTAAAGCATAATGTGCACACTGAACAAGAAGACAATACTTAACACTAAAGGGAGGCAATTCTATCCAACACTAAAAGCTTTTTTACACGTAAGCAGTTAAAACGGTCGAACCAGGAACCTGCAAGAAAAATGCCATGTGCTAATCAGGACAGAAACTGGACTGCGAATATTTGGCACATGCAGTTTGCACTGTCCAGCTGTATCTGTTCAAATCTAATTTGCTGAATATCATAAGTTTTCAGAATTTCAGAATAAAAGTTAGGGTTGGTGCACCCACATATTTCTGAGAGCATTGTGCTATAAAGAAAGAGTGAAATGGATAGTGTCTTAGTTTTAATTAACTGATTTTGAATTTCCAAAACTGTGCATTTTGAGCTTTACATATATCAGGTCCAACATCATGTACAAGTGTGTTCATGTATAGTGGAATAACTCCAGACCACTGCAACTGTTTCAACCAGGTTACATTAATGCCACCTTAACAATGTGAAAGGAGACAATTCTATTGAACAGTATACACTATGAAGGTTGCTAACTTTATCAAATGCTAACCACTATGAAGGGAGACAACTCTATCAAATGCTAACCACTATGAAGGGAAACAACTCTATCAAACACTAAAATCTATAAAAGGGATACAACTCAAATATGCCAAAGAAATTCTCATAAACAGTTTGCTTCCGGTTTGATTATATCATTTGTTTTTAGATCAGTGTTGCCTTGCACATTGGTCCTGTCCACTTAATACCTAAACCTTGATACATGTGTAATTAAAATGCTATTAAACTGCTCTTGGAACTGGAGCAGTACTTTTCATGTCATTGTTTTATCCCTTTGCTTCAGACAACATTTGAATAAAATCTGATCAGCCATTCAGGAAGTATATCTTTTGACTCACTCATATAAACAATGGATCTTGAAGACACACGCTCCAATCCTCACTGAAATTATTTGATATTTCAGCCAACTGCCCAAAGTTTGCAATTTCTTCTTGAAATGCTCCCATTTCACTAAAATGAAGGAAAATGTGTCCTTCCGAACATAAAAAGCCTGGTGATTATTTAAGGGATAAGTAACATTTTAAATGTATCATATCTGTGAGCTTTTGCAGCAGCTTAAGCGAAACAACAGAGGGTGCATGTACTCTTGTTGAAATTTCTATTTTTATCTGTTGGTCATCAATTCCATATTCACAAGTAAATATAAACCGTTGCCGTATCGTTCCTTGCAGAACTTATCCAGTTTTTAGTATATTGCGTTGTAATCTCAGCAAAGTGTTGACAAGCACATTTATTAGCGAAAAAGTAAAACGATGTAAACGGCCTAGATAATGATTAACTGTTGGGCCTAAACAGGGCAAAGCGAAAGTAGGATTTATTTCATCATCCAATGCAAGCTGAAGATGTGACTTTAAAAAAAAGTGTAGCTGTCATATGTTTGAGACATACAAAGACAATATAAAACATGTGTTCGACGCATGAATAATTTATATATATATATATATATATATAAAAAACATATTCATAAACGCCAACATGATGCAAGGGACGTAACTCTGTACAGCCAGAAGTCGTGTTCGTTACAGTTTTCAGTCGCGTTGACAGTTAAAACGAGTGCATGTGCATACCCAGTAAATAAGTACGTACCTGATCATCCTCGTAAATGAACTTGCAAGGAATTTCTCCTCGGAGAATCTTTCCGAATATGGTATCCTCGCCCGGCTTTGCGGTCTGTGCTTTCTCCACTTCGCTCATGTTGCGGCTAAGGGTCAAGGTAAGGTTCAAGACCGTAGCCTGATGATCCCATCGCTATCTGCATCGTTGAAGTTTGGTTGAACACAAAGGCGATATCCTTTTCGGGTTAATACCTCCCTGGCTATAGTTTCGTAATCTTAGAAATTATTCACTGTCCTATTAATATCAGGTAAAACTAAGTATGTTTCGGAGCGAATTATTTTCTGATATTGCTTACTTTATTATGATATCCAAAAACTAAAAAGAAAATACATTTTAGTTTCGTACATTTTCGTTTGTCAACAAATATCACGTGATGTACAAGATGGTGGCCGTACTTTCAGTTCCCGACCTTTCAGACACGAAATTTTGATATCATTTCGTGTGCTTTGAAGGATCTACTTGCTATCAATTAACCATAGAGTCTAGATAAATATCTTTTTCTCTTATAGTCTTTTCATCCTTGAAGATGAAATCAATTGAGGCCAAAGTCGTTGTTCTCGGATCGCAGGGTAAGGGAAATGTATAATTTCACATTTTATCACAATCGTCATGTCTGGTATATCCCTGGAGTTAAGAGGAATCTCTGAAACTTTAAAAACATCTCATCGATTCAAAGGACAAAAAATCACATTCAGAAGCAGTCATGTTCAGTTTAGTCTTAAATTTTGTTCGAACAATACCCGTAAATATTTGACACTTTCACATTTAAATCCTTTATTTGTAATAAAAATTAAAAAGCGGAAATAAGTAGAACGCTGTAGGTGTTTTTGGAACATTTGTTGGGTACTTTATAAGTAACCACCTAATTCCATGATATGATAAAAGATAAATAAGTCTGTAATGTTACATAAGTGTTAAATTAATCCCAGTGCTTTGTTTGACTATCTAAACATGTACACGGAAATGTTGGACTGGAAATCCAGGTACTGCATAACAGTATGGTATTTGGATCTTCTGTGTCTTTTGATAAAAAATATTTGGAATGGGAAAGCAATATGAATGATCAGTATAGTACTAAATCTGATTACAAGCCCATGATAATAATTTGATGAGGTCTTGATTTTCTGAGGTACTGCATGGATGTGACTGTCTAGTTTTTACTGTTAACAAAATGGGGTTAGATAGACCAAGTAACAAAAGGGGATTAGATAGACGAGGCTATCTATTACTACCTCTTGTGAGGAAGCCCAATATTTCTGAGTAATCATACACACAGATTCCCAATGTGTTGGCTGTTAATATTATAATATGTATCTGATCAGGAAATAAGAATGTGTGGTGGGTATATGTAGATCTGAAGTCACAGATTGATGTAACTTCAAGTCGATGTCTGAGGTGTGTGGTTCAATCCAAGCTTTCAGCTTGTTTATGTTTCTTAGGAAGACGGTTATGTGAAATATTGTCCTATTCTGCATAAGTTATGTGCCTTGGTCAAGACACTGTAATCTGCTCTGGATAGCATGCAACAGGCCGCCTGTATATCGTTATATGTAGCAATCTGCTAGCCCAATGTAATGAGATTCCTGTACAAAATGATTCTGACTGTTCATAGATCACCAGACACTAAACCTGTAGCTAGCATACAAATTAAATGTCCCAGAGTAGATAACTAAGCTCTCCAGACAATATTCTGAGGGCCACAGACTGATGTCAGTTCTTAACTTTGAGCCATGCACTGTTGAAAATACACATGTTAAAAAATCATGTGTCTGTCAAATTGATTCAACAAACCTGTTTTAGTGTGTACTACATGTCCCTCTGTTTGTTGTAAAGCTGACCACCCAACCATTCTCACAACCATCCATGGACTTCCTCTAGAAGGTGATATTGGTTGTAATTATCATATTGTGGTCATTTGATGATTTGGAATTACAAATTGTCAGAAAGACCAATGTTTTAGCTTAACACAGTGTTGATCAATCTTCTCAGGGCTGAATTATTATTCCTTCCTTTACATTGTGTCTATTTGATATATAACATGCAGCACTCTCCACTTGTATAAAAGGAGCAGGTTGGTGTGTCTTGTATATAGTGTTAAATACGGTCACTCAGCTGACGGAGCATGCTTCTCTGGCTCAATTGGTAGAGCCGTTCAGTTATTATGCTGGAGTCCCAGGTTTGATTCATGGTTGGGGCCCTCAAAAGGAATATGTGTTTTCTCTGTTCTTTTACACTTAATTCACAGAGATAGTATGACGAGTTAATTGGGCCACATAATTATGTGTTGATTACAAAACTATGTAAATTTGTATTATTCATCTTTAAACAGGTGTGGGGAAGACCAGTGTGGTGATTCGCTATGTTGGAGGAATGTTTAGTAAGGCTGTCAGTCCCACTATAGGAGCCTCATTCTTCACCTATAAGATGTGAGTAGCTGTAGTTTACTATATAAAACATATCTATGTTGTAGTGTACTGGGGGTGTGATCTCACTGTAGTTTACTATATGAAACATATCTCTGTTGTAGTGTACTGAGGGTGTGATCTTGCTGTAGTTTACTATATAAAAATATATCTCTGTTGTAGTGTACTGGTGTTGTGATCTGACTGTAGTTTACTATATAAAACATATCTCTGTTGTAGTGTACTGGTGTTGTGATCTCACTGTAGTTTACTATATAAAACATATCTCTGTTGTAGTGTACTGGGGTGTGATCTGACTAGTTTACTATATAAAACATCTCTCTGTTGTAGTGTACTGGGGTGTGATCTTACTGTAGTTTACTATATGAAACATATCTCTGTTGTAGTGTACTGGTGTTGTGATCTCACTGTAGTTTACTATATAAAACATATCTCTGTTGTAGTGTTGTGATTTTACTGTAGTTTACTATATAAAACATATCTCTGTTGTAGTGTACTGGGGTGTAATCTTACTGTAGTTTACTATATAAAACATATCTCTGTTGTAGTGTACTGGGGCGTGATCTTACTGTAGTTTACTATATAAAAATATATCTCTGTTGTAGTGTACTGGGGCGTGATCTGACTGTAGTTTACTATATAAAACATATCTATGTTGTAGTGTTGTGATTTTACTGTAGTTTACTATATAAAACATATCTCTGTTGTAGTGTGCTGAGGGTGTGATCTTACTGTAGTTTACTATATAAAAATATATCTCTGTTGTAGTGTACTGGGGCGTGATCTGACTGTAGTTTACTACATAAAAACAGATCTCTGTTGTAGTGTTGTGATCTTACTGTAGTTTACTATATAGAACAGATCTCTGTTGTAGTGTACTGGTGTTGAGATCTTACAGAAGTTTACTTTATAAAAACATAATCTCTGTTGTAGTGTTGTGATCTGACTGTAGTTTACTATATAAAACAGATCTTTGTTGTAGTGTACTGGGGGTGTGATCTCACTGTTCCTGTAAAGAGACAGTCATTAATTGTTACCATGAACACAGTAGATTTGATCATAAAAATATTTTTTAAGTTCAACTCTAAAGACTTTTATGTCTTCGGCAGGATTGAGGTCAAACATAGACCCCAGACCTCATTCCAAACTGCCTCTGCCATCTCATGAAGTTTTGTTAACAACCAGCTCTTCAAACAGAGTAATAAACCTATGGATTGAGATTAAATCAGTTTTTTTTGTAGGATTTTTTTCTGGTGAGTCCAGAGAACATTTCCAAAATTGCTATGAAATAAAGTTGGTCCTCAAAATTTGAGTAAGTCCCACACAAGAAAATGGTGAGTTCCAGTCTCAAGAGTTAGAGTCCTATTTTTTTTTTTTTTATTTTTTATTTATAAACTTTATTTATTTTACAACAATTGCGAAACAAGTTATGTCAACTTATAATAATCACTCTTGTTGGCCCGGATGTAAGCACGCGAGGGGTCTTATTGTGGGAGGAAACCGGAGTACCCGGGGAAAATCCACGTGGTCGGGCAGGTGACCCCTTACCTTTTCACATCCGTTCCGGGAATCGAACTCCAGTCGGCTAGGTGAAAGGCGAGTGTGTTACCACTGGGCCACCTGACCACCGGAGTCCTAAAGCATACACTTGTATTCTGTGGTGTTTTCTAACTTAAGATTTGGTCACACTTTTCTCTTCAATGTTACAGGCTACATTCTCATTGAAATAATGGCAAACACTTAACAACAGTGAATGTTATATTTATTTACAGGACACTAAATAACTACAGGATAAAACTCCAGGTTTGGGATACAGCAGGACAGGAGAGATTCAGGTCTATGGTAAGTAGACAGGAGATACAGCAGGACAGGAGAGGTTTAGGTCTATGGTAAGTAGATCTGGGATACAGCATGACAGGAGAGATTCAGGTCTATGGTAAGTAGATCCGGGATATAGCAGGACAGGAGAGATTCAGGTCTATGGTATGTAGATCAGGGATACAGCAGGACAGGAGGGATTGAGGTCTATGGTAAGTAGATCAGGGATACAGCATGACAGGAGGGTTCAGGTCTATGGTAAGTAGATCCGGGATACAGCAGGACAGGAGGGATTGAGGTCTATGGTAAGTAAATATATATCAGAAAATAAATAGATGTGTATCAGTATACAAACCTGTTCTTTATTAGGTTTGTGATATATTAGGACAGAAGATATACAGATGTGAATTCTTCTATATACAGATGACATAGAGATAGAGGGAAGATTTCCTCTCAGAAAAAAAATTGCAATATGTAGTTTGAATTCTGGTCCAGATCACAGAGAAAAAAAGAAGTGGCTAGGGAGGTATATGTAACCCTTAGGAAAAGTTAAGTTCAGGACAGAAGTTCAGGAAGTATATAGCATGGAGGACAAGAACGGTTCTAGAAGTATGTCATATAGAAAACAGATACAATGTAAGATTCTGATCAATAGCGAGGCGATCGACTGATTGTCAAACCCTGCCTCATCTAAGTATTAACCAATCACAAAATCCACACTATTGAGTCTGTGTCTGTTCTCGTATTGCTTGTTGGTACATGTATGTACACTGTGTTGTAAAAGAATCAATGCTGGTCAATGGTTTAGAAAATATTTTGACACAGATTTCAGTGGAATTTTTAATCAATGATTTGTGACACAGCAGCAGCAGCAGTATATTTTGTCTGAAGAGAAATACATATTTACACTGTTAGGAAATTACACACAAACTAACAGAAATACCTGTTAAACTGTCTTGTGTTTGTCAAAGTTGAATAATTTTTCTGCTCTACAGGCACCAATGTACTACAGAAAGGCAAACGCTGCCATGTTAATCTATGACCTGACATCAGCTGATAGTTTTTACGACATCAAGGACTGGGTGAGCGGTATGTATTGTTATAATACTGAGAAATACTGTTACTCCGACATAGTCTCAGTCATAGTTACCATGTTGGTGTTTTCATAATGACTTCTCTCCATTTATCCAATAAGTTTCTGGAAAATATTTGAAAAAAAACCTCTTCTGGATACCTCCATACAATAGTCTCGTGATCTAGTAGCATATCATTTTCTGTATGTTTAGTCCACTCTTCAAATAATCAGGGGCCATTGTCCGTCCATAATTATATTCTTTCCTCACCACTCGACAACAAAGTTAGGAGATGGGGGAGGAGTATATAGGAATCAGCTTGTCTGTCTGTTTGTCTGTCTGTCTTTAGAAAAAATATGTCTGGACAATTCTTCCAAAACAACTGGATCAATTTCAATGAAACCATGGACCTTGTGAAGATGTGCATGGAACATTTTTTTCCCAGCAAAATATTGGTTGCCTTGGTAACCATTCAATATAAATAGAATTTTTTTTTGAAAATTTGTCTCAACCAGTTCTCCTTAATTAATGTATCAGTTTCATTTTTACGATGTATAAATGTTAGGTACAATGTGTTATTATACATGCATCTCTTTTTAAGCACAAAACATGTGGTTGCCTTGGTAACAGGTCATTATAAATAGAATTTTTCATCAAAAGTTTTGTCCACCTAATCTAGTGGATCAATTTCAATGAAATTACATCTAGTAATGATAGCGACCATGTAGGGCTGTGCATGCAGCATTAATCAGCCATTGACTTACAGTTCTAGTTAATCCTTAATATTTCTATTTCATGAGAATATAGTCAAGGAGTAATTCTTAAACTATGTATACATGTTTCCCTCTGTCCTCAGTTTTGTGTCTGATCTGTGAAATGAAATGACTAACAGGCATTCATCTTGGGTTTTGACAATTAAATTTATTTATCACTATTTCTTAGAAGTATTGGAGGGATATTTTTCACATTAGTCTCTGAATTGTTCTCTATGGCCACCTAGTTGTGGCATTCAATTTTGAATTTTATACGATAAACAAAATGGCCGACAGACTGCCATCTTGGATTTTTACAGTTGAAGTTTGTTTCGGTTTTTGTCGGAAAGTTCTTTGTTAGATCTTTCTTAGGTTTCATATTTTGGATTTCTTTGTTACCAAATGATAAAGAGGAAAAACGGAAACGAGGGAAAAGAAGAGAAAATATCAGTCATGTATGAAACCAAGTAATATCAGTCAGTGATAAATGCCAAGATCCCCCAAGATCTTTTGTCGATGTTTCAAGATTATATAACCAAAATTATCAATTTAGGATTTTCTAGAAACCAAACAATAAGTAATTGAAAAATATATATATATATATATATATATACTATGTGCATCAGTCTCATGTTGTTTTATGATGAAACTCTTTATCATTTTCTGTACCCATATCTATGTACAGATAAAATCTCTATACAGATGGTATAAATAAGATCACTTTACGAATCCTTTAATTTTAACAGAGTTGAAGAAGAACGTAGACACACCTATAGGTAAGTGTTTCTGCAGCTTAATTTTCCATCCTTTTCTTTTAATTACAGTTAACATACATTCAAGTATGTATAAATCTATATAATTGAATTAAATTTGATAACAACACCTCCCTCTGTAGATACACCTCCACCCTTTCTCTGGGAGAAAGGAAAGACATTGTACATTTAAATAAACTTTGTTAAAAGGTTACTTCCCAATGCTGTATAGTTTCTGCTACTAACCCTTACCTGTAATATGTCCACAACATATAGCTACAAGTCACTCATATGGCTGAAACATGATTTTTTTCAGATTAAAATAAGGATTTCGTTTATCAAAGTTTCATGACTGATTATTTTACATGAGTGATAAAATTCCTACTACATTGAAACTACTGTAATCTATATCTGTGTATAATGAATGTAATATCATTGTTCTGTCCTGTTAATGTATAAATATATGAAAGGTATTAGTTTGTACAGTAAAACCTGCCTTAAAGGCATTCAAGAAATATTTGTTTACAAAGCCATCTTACCAGATTTATACCTATAAAGTCCATTGGTTTGGGACCAAATCCATAGTGACTGGGCCTCCATATAATGACCACCTGGCTGTGAAACCCATTGGTTTGGGTTCTGATCCATAGTGACTGGGCCTCCATATAATGACCACCTGGCTGTGAAACCCATTGGTTTGGGTTCTGATCCATAGTGACTGGGCCTCCATATAATGACTACCTGGCTGTGAAACCCATTGGTTTGGGTTCTGATCCATAGTGACTGGGCCTCCATATAATTACCACCTGTAAAGCCCAATGGTTTGGGACCAAATTCATAGTAACTGGGCTTCCATATAATGACCTCCGGGCTGTGAAACCCATTGGTTTGGGTTCAGATCTATAGTGACTGGTCCTACATATAATGACCACCTGGCTGTGAAACCCTGGGCCTCCCTATAATGACCACCTGTAAAGCCCATCGATCTAGGTCCAAATCCATGATGACTGGGCTTCCATATAATGACCACCGGGCTGAGAAGCCCATTGGTTTGGGTCTAAATCCATAGTGACTGGGCTTCCATATAATGATGGCTGTGAAGGCCACTTTTCTCTATATCTTTGAGTGGCCTTTATAGACAAGTTTGACTATATATTCAAGGTGTTCCATTTGTCATTTTCTCTTCAGCTCTATTAGCTTTATCTATGATAATCCAATCTCTGCTGTACTCCTTAATATTTTCAGGTTAAATTTAGGCTGATCCATTCTTTGATTTTACTCCTAGTCCATTTACATCTCTGTGTTTTACCATTACATAGATACTGTCTATTTTGGTATGGCTGTTCTATTCTCTGCTTTCCCTCCCCAGTAATGTGTTTAGTGGGCAACAAATGTGATCTGACTGACAACCGTGAGGTCACAACCAGTGAAGCGGAGGAATATGCCTCAAACATTGGTGCACTCAACCATGAAACATCTGCCCTTAAAAACACAGGTAAATATATAACACAATTATGTGTCAGAGAAATCTGTCCTCCAAACATCAGGAGTTAAACATCTCAATGTGTAGCTGACACAGTAAACTTGGGCTTATCAATAATAATAAGGAATATCACTTAGCAGAGAAGGTGAAGGAATAACACTTGGAATAGAAGGTGACGGAATATCACTTAGAATAGAAGGTGAAGGAATATCACTTAGAATAGAAGGTGAAGGAATAACACTTAGTATAGACGGTGAAGGAATAACACTTAGAATAGAAGGAGAAGGAATAACACTTAGAATAGAAGGTGAATGAATATCACTTAGAATAGAAGGTGAAGGAATATCACTTAGAATAGACGGTGAAGGAATATCACTTAGAATAGACGGTGAAGGAATTACAGAACAGTTTTTAATACTAATGAAGGTCAAATATCTGAAGATAATATTGCCATTACTATAAATTGTATAAAGCAGAGTTTTCTGCCCCTCCAGAGGCTCAATCCAAACATCTGTTAAGCAATGTCACTACTCAAGGTAATTGTATACCCTTAAAAAGAATTACTGAATTTTTAGAGTGAATAATCACACCACAGATATATATACAAAATATTGTTACAGGTATAGACGAGGCCTTCCTTCAGGTGGCACAGCAGCTGATCAAACTGTACGAGACCTCACCAAATTCTGGCCTTCATACAGTGGATACAGCTACAAACCAATCCACTACAGCTCCACATCCTGCAGACACTGGAGAGGCATTCCGTCTTTCCTCCCAAGCCACACCCCCTAGTGAAGGTTCAGGCTGTTCCTGCTGATGGTGTGTCTGATAGGATTTTAATTAATTATTGTGTCATTGCTAGGGACTACAGATTTTTGTCTGAATTGTGTGAATTAGAATTTAGTGAATATGTTTTGGTAAATATTTACAGATATCCGATACGTAATAAGAAGTGTTGTTGATCTGTCTGATCAATCCAATATTATGGTAAAAGTTTAGAATTTGACATCTTCATTTAATAAATAAATTATGAAGTAAATTTAGATAACTCATAAATCTTCAGTAAAAGGTTGATGGATTAAAAAACTGTTAATGAAATCTTTGTTAGGAAGGGCAGATAATTGTGTTATTCAATTTAATATAAACTAAATGCAGGCAATGCCTGGGGAGAAATAGATTCAGAATTTTATATTCTGTTACTTCACAGGAAACACTATCCATCAGAGTTCATGAATATTTCACAGGAACTCTGACATCACTTATTTTCATAAAGGTTACCTGAGGTCAATGAAGGTCATGAAAGTTCATCTGAGGTCATTGTCACAAAGGTTACCTGAGGTCAATGAAGGTCATGAAAGTTCATCTGAAAATCTTTGATTGCCAAAAGGTATATTTACGGTCAATGATGTTCATGACATCTCATCTGAGGTCATTGTAACAAAGGTAATTGATTATGATGTACATGTTGATATGCCTGACTCTCGGTTATAACAGCTGTATATATATTTATATATATAGCTTTAATGCTTTTTGTCCCAACTGATACTTTGTATATATAAATGTATGTGAAATATTTTTCCTGATGTTATTGTTCTGTATAAAATCTAGGTAAGGTTTGCTACACTACCAGAATGAACAAAGAAGACTTTATCATGAAATGGCTCACAGTTTACTTGTCTATATGCTAAAGTATACAGGTTTTTCTGTCCCTTCCTTCCCTTTCTCAGCCCTATGTTTTACTGACTCTAAGGTTCATACTGTGTTACATATCTACATTTTACAACAATGTGAAGTAAGTTTTTCCAACATGATTATATCACTCTTGTTAGTTGGCTAGATATCTTATGAAAACTTGCATGGTTGGGCAGGTGACCCTTACCTGTTCATGTCCGTTCTGGAAATCGAACCCTTGATGTCGAGGTGCACCGCCCGATCACACACTGTATCATTACGATTGTCTTTATATCCGTTCCTGGCTTTATCATACTTAATGATAATAAGGCCATGTCTAGTAATAAGTCCACCCTTATCTATTGATGTTCTGTAGAATTACCAACTAATGCTGTATTTAATTGTCTGAAATAATATTATTATTATTATTATCATTACATTCTTACCGGCCGGTCAACACATGAAATGGCATTAGGGCCATCAAACGGTAAAACACAGCGATCCAAAAGGAAATAACATTAAACAATTTAAAAGGTAAAAGACAAATGTTAAAAATCTAAAATCATCACAAAATATTAAAATGGTTAGTCAAAGTCTGTAGTACAGACCAACATCTTTCAGATGACCTAGAATTTTATAGATTTCAGCAGTTTCAAAAATGGTCTTAAGACTTGTAACATTACGATAAAAATTTCTCGAGTCGACAGAAGGTCAATGCAGTCTAATAAAAACAGTGAATGACACATCGCATCCTATGCACCGAGGGTTATCTTCGCCTTTCAACATTATAAGCCTGCCCATGACTTTTTGTATGCTTAATACCATTCATTAATGCTGATAAAAATGGTGGTTCCTGGGTATGCTAGTGTTTTCAAACATATATCTAGAATATTTACTTCGGTCAAATATTGATGAATTCATCAAATATTTCATTAAATATTTTAAAAAATTATATGCACTCTCATGAAGCTAGAATTGAATACATTTTCAGATATTGCAAGCAATTAATTTTTTTCCAACTGGATGTGATACCTGGAAATCTATTCAGTATATATATATATATATAGTTACCAACCTAAGAAAATATTTCATAAAATTCATAAACCATCATTTTATCTGTTGACGTAAAATTCCAAAATATTTTCCTGAATAATATCCTGAAGATTTCGGATTATAGAAATACTTGTGACCTTTGTAATGTTTAGTGTTTTATAGCCGTACAAAAGGTTTCCTAGCATTCCATCTGTTGTATTCAGTTATAGTGTGTTCCGCCAGGGATAGCTCAGTTGTTGGGAACGTTAGCTTACATACAATCCGTGTTCCCTAGTTCAATGCTCCAGACCCGTGGCGGTTTGTATTTCTCCGGAAACTGAGAAACGTACCGGTCTGTGTTGAAGTGATTATGTCTTTGGACAAGACACTTAACCCTAACTGCTCTGCATGACATGTGTCAAGTCTCCTGTATGTTGTTCAGTGAGGTAGCCACCGTCTACTACAATGAGACCCTGCCTGACACAGGTTGTTCACAGGGTGATAAAACCCAGCAAACAAACCATTGTGTAATTCTACACGGGTTAAAATGCTGAAAATATTCCAAATGTTTTATTTGATGTTTTGACTGCCATGTTTTTAGTTATCTTTATAACTGTCTCATACATTATTGTGATTGATATTAATATTTTATATAATATTAAGTTTTCATTATGGTTAGTCTATCCCTGTAACTTAGTAATTAGAAATGTATGTTATGTACAAAACAAAAGTAAGACAGCTACGGTACAGCATTAATTTTTGTTTTTTTTTGGGGGGGATGTTTCATTCAGAATTAATGTGTATGTACTGGTTTAGGCGTAAACAACAGTAAGACAGCTAGGATACAGTAAAGCATTATTTTGTTTTTTTTTTTTTTGGTCTTTTGGGGGGGAGGGGTAGTAAGGGGGTGGATAGGGGCGGAGGGTAGGGTAGGGGGAGATGTTTTGTTCCCTTGGAATTTATGTATTGGTTTAGGTGTAAGGAGATATGTGCGTCATGATGTTTACAATAATACATTCTAATGATAGTTTTGTTTTTTCTGAATACTCCTAGACATCTATGCATGAGATATTTTTTGTGTTTGACTTTGAATATGAAAAGTTTTTTCACCAGGGACTATATATTAAAAAGGATATCATTTCAGTAGTTAAATTTTTGCTCAACATATAAAAATTTGTTTGAATGTTATAAAAAGTACATTTGGGATACTTTGTGTATTTCTGTGATCTTGATCGGTAAACAAGTCACTTCTAAAGTGTGAACTGGCAAAGTAAATATTTGTTTCAGTCAAACGGAAATTATCCTCTGATATAGAAGCCATACCATTTGTATGTATGTCTGAGAAATAATAAATAAACATGTTTCTAATGCGAGGTTTGCTAGGCTTCAGAAATCTATGGTTGTGCTAATATTTGCTGATGGACATAATTATTTCAATGTAAATATGGCTTGTTTATATTGTTTTTTCATATATGAAATAAAATATATTTATTCACAGATATTTGCAGTCAAGTTTTTTACTTTTTACTTAATTAAGCTAACCTGACCATGAAGACTGAATTTCAGCCTCTAAAACCACATTTTAAAATCTCATTTTTGTTAGTTTAAAAGTTGATCTGACTTTTTAGCTCACCCTGCTTGAAGGACTAAGTGAGCTTACACTGTAGCGTAGCATCCGCCTGGCATCAACTACTTCTTCTCAATAACCAGGAGACCAAATATCATGGTATTTGGTTGGTTGGTTGCTGGGATGACCCAACAAAATTTGCGAAAAGAAAATGACCTTGACATTTCTTCAAGGTCACCGAGGTCAAATTTGTTAAAACCGTTAAATGACTTCTTCTGACCAACCAAAAGATGTAGAAGCATGGTATTTGGCTGAAAGGTTCCCAGGATGAAGCCCGACAAAGTTTGTGATAAGAAATGACCTTGGCCCTTATTCGGGAAGACAGTCTAACCATGGTCATAATCTATCTATGTAAGTCGTATGACCTGACTACAGTGTACAAACAAATGAATGTATATTTTTCAATACCATCCAGGCAAGCCTTCAGACCTCTGTTATGTGACAGGAGAACAATCACAGTTATTACCTGCAGTCTCCGAATGAAGCTACAAATAATAGATGTTAACACTACATCAACCTTGTGTTAAATTTATTAAAAACATTACATGTAATTCTATCTAGAGATCAGACTTTGCTTAAGTCATAAAGAGAAGGTAGAATTACATCAAAGTTACTTTGACTTGGAGACAAAACAAGAGATATTTGTTAAGAATAGACTTTTATTCATTAAATAATTCATAATTCACATCTCCTACATAGAAACCAGCATTACTCTGTTACCGCAAAGTCACATGATCAATTAATCTGTCACATGATAAAAATCAAATGATACATAAGTCACATGACCAGCAATGATGTCACATCCTGTTGAGGACAACAGAGAATCTATTTGCAAGTAGCATTGTTTTTGGTAAAAAATGACAAATGAATTTCTTTAAACAGACAAATTATATTAACAGTATATCTCTAACACTCAAATGTAAGCAGTGTTTTTACAAAGTCAATTGTATACAATGCAGGAACGTTATGTACAAAACTCAGTAATAGCAGGGTGTGAACTGCTACATACACATCTCACAGGGTACTGGGCAAACTAGATCACATGATTTCCATATAAGGACTTTGAAAATAAGGTGATAAGCACATGATTTCTTCCTCAGCTTGAAGATGTATACATGAGAATATCTAGGATTACAGGAAAGAAAAAAGCATTTTCATTTATCATTTTCTTACATTATTAAATTTGAGAAAAAATATGAAAAAAGTTTCTTTAACAACCTGTTAACAGTCTGCCTGTCAATGAACAATTAAAAAGTTGTATGAATAATCAAAAATTTAGGAAACCATTAAATAGGAATATTCGGTAATACAGTCCAAGATTCTTAATCAGCTAAGTTATTGTGTTGGAGTTTCTCCTTGTGAAGGGTTAGATTATATAATTACAGTCCCGTAGATGATAGAGCTGAAATAAGACATTCCAATTTTCACCAGATGACTAAATTTACACATAGTAAAGTAAACACTGTATATGGTTTTTCCTTTGTTTTGATATTTCAGGTCAACATTAAAGTAAAACATGTTATGATAATTAATTCCATACTAACATTAGCCTTAGACCTTGTAAAATAGTAGTTGTTATAACACAAACAGTAGAAGATCTGAGTACAACGTTTCAGTGCTTGTTTTATAATATTTTACTGACATTACCAAACTGAAGAAAATGAAATCACCTCGACTTTAGTGTACAGTGTATATAATGGCTATAGATGGCTCTGATTTAATAATGATATTGTGTGATCATGATAATTAAGTTTCGACAGAAATAATTTTAAAAACCTGACTGATCTGATTTGTACTATGATATACAGCACAAATCCCTCAAAATGACAAATATTACAGTCTGTATACATGGCACTCTGTATCTAGTCATTTTCATACATAATTACAACGTGACCATATTTGGAATCATCAGATATATAAATACTGGTAGGGATGTGGTTTTATAACCACACTCTTCTTCACAAGGTATTATGTGGTTATATATAGACAGATTTGATGCTGGTCAATATTCAATTGGTGTTAACTTGGATGTTTTGTTTATACATAATATCATAATTGACAAGTTGGATGCTGGCAATCACTGACACAATCTGTTTATGTATATTGTGTGGTTGTACGTGAGATTTTTCTTTACTCAGAGTCAGTAAGACCAGATTTGACATTATTCAGCATATATACAATGTTTTCTGTTTTTTTTAAATCAAATGAGTTTTCACAATGGCCAGAACTTACACATAGCAGATTATCACTGAATAGTGCTCAACATAAATATGTATGGGCATTATTGACAGATTTGTAAGGTCAAAGTTCACTAAGTACAAAGATCTGTATATATGTTTGTTAATGACAGGTTTGTAGGGTCAAAGTTCACACTGTACAAAGAGCTGTATATGTTTGTTAATGACAGGTTCGTAGGGTCAAAGTTCACACAGTACAAAGATCTGTATATATGTTTGTTAATGACAGGTTTGTAGGGTCAAAGTTCACACAGTACAAAGATCTGTATATATATATATGGTCATTATTAAGAGGTTTGCTGTACACAACAGGTGTCTATATTTACAGTTTAAATCAAACATGAATTTCAGTGACCTCCAGACAATAAGCTTGTCCCTCTGGACACAGTGACCTAGTACATTTATTTGTATTAGGGATGTTGAACACTGTAGTACTCAAGTTATAATTTCTTTTTTTCAAAGCGAGGATTCCATACAGAAGATAACAACAACATGACATGTATACAAGTACTTGAATATATATGAACCCGAGTCTGGAGCCCAAAAACACTTCAAAAGCAATCAATACATCTAAAATGGGCCATGAAAAACCGATTATCTGGAAAATTTGTTTTTGTGAAAAAAAAAAAAAAGATTTTAAAATGGACTAATTTAGAGGAGAAATGTTGAAATATTAAAAACGAACTAATTCAGCCAGAGTATACAGTGTGTGTCATTGCAGGGTATGAAATTCCATTCAGTAACATTTAAGCATTCAAAGCACAAAAGACAAATATCAAAATTAAATAAATTGTATACAAAACAGGAAATAAATTTAACAGGATAAAATAATGGAAACCATGGAAACAACGTCACATAAAAAAATATCAACCAAATCTACCCACAAACTTGTCCACTCTACCTACCCCATCTCCCGTCTTTTTATCTAGGCTGAACTTTTCTGTGTACCGAGGTAAGTAAATTGTTAATAAGAAACATTATTGTTTACAAAATCCCCGAACAAGACAAATTTATAACAATGAAAAAAAATTATGTTAACACACCGTTGATGATCCTGAAATTTGATTCATAATGATTTTAAAAATCGCTTTAATAATTAGGCGTAATCTCATAATAAAATTGTGAAACTATTTTAATGATTTAACTACACAGCAGTAGACGATCTGTAGGATCACAGTCGGCCTTACAACTATTCTTCTCTCACAACATACTCCACACAGGGATGCTGTTGGGTTTATCTCATTGGTTTTTTTTCTGACACAGGGACTGACTGACCCTTCCGATTTACATAACATGACAATAACGGTGTTGATCAGATCCAGCCACATCTATTTTAGACGAAATGCATAAAAATGCTATTCTGTATGGGGTTTTTTCCTGCCGATTTTTGCAGTTTAGGAAATTGAAAAAGTAGAAGTGTAGGAAAGTGAAGTACCGACCAGGTGTACTATAAAACACGCTGTATTAATCCACATTGTACTTCAAAGTACCAACCAGGTATAAAACAGGCTGTATCAATCCACATTGTCCTGCAAATTTCTACGTTCAATGATTTGTGAAAATCATATCTTTAAAGTTATAATTGTAGTTTTTCATTCAATTGCTAATTTTTTTAATGTCCTTACCTCACTTGAATGACTGCCAGAATCAGTCCTTAGAGTCAAACATCTGTAGATTAAGTAAATATGTTATATATATATATTCGATCCAATTTTCACTAGGACATGAAGTGGCCTAATTTAGGCCATACCACAACGTCAATTACAAGAAGGTAAACATAAACTTCAGCATAAAATGATCTACAGAAAGAAAAAGAAATAATGCCCATGGCTTGCTCTGCCAATTCACAATCAGGTATAAAAATGTCTACTTTCCTTCCTAACAAATGTTTTAATAAGCAATTCTCACAATGACAAAGTTTACCCCATAATAATCCCAGAGGATCAGAGTCAGGGGATGTGTCCATTACAGGACCCCAGGGGGGGGGGTCAGGATTGTACCTCTGACTTGGTGTCAGGGGATGTGTCTATTACAGGACCTTAGGGGGGGGGGATCAGGATTGTACCTCTGACTTGGTGTCAGGGGATGTGTCTATTACAGGACCTTAGGGGGGTCAGGATTGTACCTCTGACTTGGTGTCAGGGGATGTGTCTATTACAGGACCCCAGAGGGGGTCAGGATTGTACCTCTGACTTGGTGTCAGGGGATGTGTCTATTACAGGACCTTAGGGGGGGATCAGGATTGTACCTCTGACTTGGTGTCAGGGGATGGGTCTATTACAGGACCCCAGGGGGTCAGGATTGTACCTCTGATCCAGAGTCAGGGGTCAAGACCAGAGGTTATCAGTCTGACTTTGGGTTAGAGGTCAATGCTCTGATTTTGGGTTAGAGGTCAATGCTCTGATTTTGGGTTAGAGGTTAACGCTCTGATTTTAGGGTCCGAGATTGTCCCTCCTCAACCACACCCCGCATGAATTCGGTAATATTGACTCTATATTTATCTTATACAGTATAACTTACCATGCTTCCTGCTGGACAGTCACAAACCCAAGTTTACCTTACCCCTAACTTCTCTGCCAGAACTTGTATGTAAAGTGATTATTGCTGGCTAATAGATTTGTTTATGTATTAAACAATAAGAAGTAAAAAAAATCAAACAATACTAGACATATAACCATATAAGCTGTAAACGTATAACGATCTCTGTTCTATAAGCCCATCACCTCCTACACATTCCTACACAGCCAATTTCACTGTCTTTAAGGCAACAATATACATCACGTCACCCAACTGGACAAAAAAATACCCAGCAAATTAAGTCATTAAGCCTAAAAATATATATACTTTTCTTAATTTGACAAAAATATTATAAATCTCTGAATTTTTCTGATCCTCCGAACTAAAGCCTTGCTAAGCAAGAAACAAAAAGGCAAGCTACATGTTTTCTCAATGTTATACCAACAGTATATCTTCAGCCAGATGACCAAGTCTGAATGTGTTCGAGTCCATGTTGATTTAAATGTACATATAAATAATATCAAAGTAAACACATTTGAGCTACATGTAACATCTCCAACAACACACAGTGTAACTTACTGCTTAGGGAAAAATGTACAACAAACAATGGTAAAGGAAGCACATCAATGTAATCTGTGTTCAACAAACACGGGTGACTGGACATTCATTCATTTTTGTGGGGGATTTATTTTCGTTGGGCACTTTTAATCTCCATGAACTGTAATAATTCATCATAAGTATTAGTACATTAATAGAGCTATGCTGATCAACAAAATCAAAACCTCCACAAAATAGTGATTTGAAAAAAAAAAATAATAAAAAAATCCCACAGACACAAAATTTTAGCCCCACAAAAATATGAATGATTTTGCAGCAAGATGCTAGTTACAAAACAAACAATCAAATCAACTAATGATGTACTAACACAATCATAATACACTACTCAACGTAAGTTTTTAATCTACAAACGAAAAATTAGTATTTATCCAGTAATAAGCCCGTACCTGGTAATAAGCTCACACAAAAATATTGCTATTTAGTAGAATTAACAACAGATACTACTGACTAATACTGTACATATCCTCCTTTAACCCAGCCCCCCTCCCCTTTGTGTAAAAGTTTAATACTGTGAAACCTGCTTAATATCATGTTCTATTTGTCAGATGAAAATGTGATACTAACCAGAAAGTGACATTAACAGAAGTGACATTAAGTGGGTTCCGCTGTATTAAAGTTTGGGGAGAATTTATTTGTGAGATATTCTTAGATCACTATTTTGAAATTTGATGATTCTGTAAAAATGAAAAAGGAGGCTTATTTGTGGGCGGGGTTTTTATTATTAGATAAAGACAGTAATAAGTCTGACCTTGTAACAGTAGTATATCAGTCCCAGGACATAGTTAGTGCAGGATGAATCAATACTCTGTATTCTTGCCTTTTTATTGACAGATATAACTTTGGTTGTTTCCTCTGATTTCTTTGACAGGTTAGATTAGAGTTAAAGAAATATGTCTGACCTATAGCTACACATCTTAATTAGCTTTCTGATGAGTAAAACGTAAAACCAAAATTCTACTATTTGTACTGTTAACATACTTGATACATACCTGAAGACTGTTACATTTAAAACACTCTGCCTACAAATTTATTTTTACCTTTTTAATCCATCTGTTTAGTGGAGAAGAACCTGTATGAGATCACTATGTGTCAACATTAAGGAAACCTACTACATATATAACTATAGCAAGAACACAGAGTAGAGAGAAACAAACAAATTACTACAAAACAAGAAATGAACTAAATAACCATTTAGTGATACACTAAATCATACAACTAACAAACAAAACAGACTACAGAGAAAGACAGCATCACAAGTCTATACACTTAATGTACACTTATATAACAAAGTATCAAATCTTAACCAGGTGTAACAAGTTTTACCAACACTAACTTAATGGCCATTGATGTGGATTTTCAAAAATCAATAATCAATCATTTAAAATAATATTCATCTTTGGACTCCCGATAGATTCACATTTTTTTTTTTTTTTTAATGATGTTTTTAAATTTTAGAATTTTGTACCGGAAACTTAACAAAGCATATGTTGTCATGCTAACATTCTATCACTAACAGACTCCTCTTCCAAGATTTTAAGTTTTGAAAATTATAACAAGATAAAGATTAATGCATACTACTTATTGAGTTCAAGTATGAATGTTGTTGTTTATGTTGAACTGATGAACCATGTTTACATCTGCTGATGATGTAAGGCCAGTATTACTCTGGCCTTGTTAGACAGGTATTATCTAACCCCTGTTGGGCCAGTATTACTTGGCCCTTTTAGACAGGTATTATCTAACCCCTGTTGGGCAAGTATTACTCTGGCCTTGTTAGACAGGTATTATCTAACCCCTGTTGGGCCAGTATTACTTGGCCCTTTTAGACAGGAATTATCTAACCCCTGTTGGGCCAGTATTACTTGGCCCCTATTGGACTCATACTTATGACCTGGCCCCTGTTGATCAAGTATCTATGATCTGGCCCCTGTTGAGCCGATCTTTATGATATAGCCCCTGTTTGGCCATTTTTTTACGGTCTGACCCTAGATGAGCCAGTATGATGTGATCCATGTTGGGTTGATAGGATCTGTCCCTTGGTCACTATGTACGAATAGCATGGCATCAAGACAACTATAAAACAAAATTAGATGGTAAGGAAGAGGTTTGTGTATCAAGGCAAGCTTTATATTATAGAATGGGGACAAGTCTTCTCCAGAGCAGGTTCAGTATCTGTCAAGACTGTCCAGATTGTGTCTAGATTCTGTACAAATTCTGACTAGATTGTGTCCAGTCTGTCAAGATTCTGTCCATATTTTGCCCATACTTTGACCAGACCCTGACCAGTCCCTGTCCAAACTTTGTCCAGACTCTGTATAGACACTGTCAAGACTTTGTCCAGTCTCTGACCAGTCTAGGTCCAAACTCTGTCCAGACTCTATCTAGACACTGTCTAGACTTTCTCCAGATTGTATCGGGGTTCTGTCCAGTCTCTGACCTGTCCATACTTTGTCCAGGTTGACCATTGTATAAAGCAACGACTACTACCTTGATGAGTGAGGTTAGCTGTATCTAACAACAGGACCAATGGGAAAAATCTACCTCCAGTCATGATGAACAGGTTTACTACTGCCTTAAATTATCACTGACACCTAAAGCCTAGATACATCCACACAACTTACACTAAACACGTCTGGTTTCAAATTGCCATCCCTGTGAAAATTTACACAAATGTACTGGTACTGAATTCTGTCTCCATATCTCGAAACCAAACTTCAAACCAAGTGTTGAAAAGACAAATTTCCCTTTAAATAGTTTAAATAGTACTTAACTACTTCAGGCTTTTTGTGAGAATTATTCCTATTTAAGAGAAGTTGAGCACAACGTGATGTCATCCTCCATCAATAAGGTCATAGTTCACCAGATGTCATCTGCCTCAGATGTCATCCTCTTCTAAAGCGAGCCATCTGCATGTGATGTCATCTACCTGTGATGTCATCATTTTTTGATGTCATCACTTTGTGATGTCATTTGCCTGTGATGTCATCTTATTGTGATCTCATCTTTTGGTGACATCACATATGATCAGTAACATGAAGAAATTATTAAATTCTAAGTCACATCAAATAGAACAGTATTATCTTCCTTTACTAAGAAGGCTCATGGGGTCAAGGGTCAAACAAACTAATATGATAGTATCCATTTAAAACATAATAACAGAACTCTCCAATGCGAAGATCAGGTTTAGTACGTTTGACCCTGGCTCTACCACACAGAAAGGTCATATCCAACATCTGCTCCTTGGTATAGCCCCAACAGAAATACCTCAAAGCCAATCATATGGTCTTTAGGGTATCACATGACAGTTTATATCCAATCAGAACACACTTAACATTCACAGTATGGTACATCTCCACCTTGAACTCTTTTGCTGAGGTTTTTCTTTAAGGTTGACTCCACCTCCTTTGTTCTGTGCACTGGAAGCTTCCTACAAAATAAAGCACGTTTACAATGTATTGTGTGTCACAGAGATTAAATGGAAGTTTCACAGAGACTACACTAAGAATGAATTGTCCATACTTTTATATCTGTTAGATAACACATAGTGATAGTATTTACTACTATCACACAGTGTTCTATATCTCCAACACCTGTATAACAATGTAGATATATAAATCCACAACATACCTCAGTTTCTATTTTATGATATGGTGACGACAACAACAGAGTAGTGACATGAGATAACACTAGTTGTTTAAGTAAATATTTTCCAGCTTTTTCCAGTTAATCACACATTTTACTTTGATTATTGATATTCTTCAGAATGGTTGACCTATAACATAGATACATGTAATCTACACAAATCTCTTGTCATTCTAAAAGACATATTGAATCTGGTACAAAAAACAATAAAAAATCGAAAAATTAAGCAGGTAATATAAGCATGGAGAGTTAGGATCAAGATTAGAGCTGAGAGCATGTAGGATTTACCTGGACAGTACGTATATACATAGACTGGTGTAATATACACATATAGATAGGTGTCTAAAGTGATAAATTAGTGTCAACATGTACACACACATATATAAATGTTGTACGCAGATGGAAGACACTTGTATGTAGAAGCTCTTCTATATTACTGTGATCATTTATAACTGAGTATTTAAATATACTCATCATATCATTAATTTGTTAATATAAATATATCAAAGATAAATTAATTAGTTAACATAAAAAATGTCAATTAATTAGTTACTATAAAATATGAAAACTAATTAATCAAAAATATGTAAATGCAGAGAAAGACGTCACTGTGACTAGCAATACGGCTATAATTTATATACACTAGAATCAATGACAGAAGTTTTAACGTAAATTCTCATCTGTCATGTGATCATAGTTAAGCTGAATACCACAACTGAAGAAAGGATTTTAAACATTAACGGGGGATTCATCTGAAGAAAGGATGTTTTAAACATCCAGGGTAAAAAAAAACATTTGATTGGAAGACCTTATTGATAAGTTTCTTCAGCATGCTTTGGTTGGTTTAGGATGGCAGGAATTAATTCTGCATTAACTGACTTTTGACCTTATGTACTTTAAACTAAGATGCTGCTCTCTACGATACACACCATTCCAAAGTTACTATTAAAATTATTTTTTACTCGTTTTGTTACATTGCTTACAAAGTCTTTTAAAAGACATGCTACAAGGAAAAGTGGGCCCTTTCTTCCCTAAAAGGATAGTTTTCAGTCTAAAAGAATAGTTTTCAACCTTGTCGTTGACAAAAAACTATCCTAAAAGACATGCCAAATGAAATGGTTGAATTATTTTCACACAGCCCCCTGTACAGTCATGCTTTAAAGGTCAGTCAGGGAAAGTTTAAAAGTTCTCACTAAAATGTCACAGGAGGCAGAACATTTACAACTGTTTACCGTATAACATCGTCTGTTAAGACAACATAATCTCACAGGAGGCAGAACATTTACAACTGTTTACCGTATAACATCGTCTGTTAAGACAACATAATCTCACAGGAGGCAGAACATTTACAACTGTTTACCGTATAACATCGTCTGTTAAGACAACATAATCTCACAGGAGGCAGAACATTTACAACTGTTTACCGTATAACATCGTCTGTTAAGACAACATAATCTCACAGGAGGCAGAACATTTACAACTGTTTACCGTATAACATCGTCTGTTAAGACAACATAATCTCACAGGAGGCAGAACATTTACAACTGTTTACCGTATAACATCGTCTGTTAAGACAACATAATCTCACAGGAGGCAGAACATTTACAACTGTTTACCGTATAACATCGTCTGTTAAGACAACATAATCTCGCAGGAGGCAGAACATTTACAGCTGTGTACAGTCATAACATTGTCTGTTAAGACAACATAATCTAACAGACATCAGGATTAGCTTTTAATGCTGTATACAGACTTCATCTGAATCAATATATTAATCATTACCAACCAAACAAACAATAAAAATGTATCTTAATTTCCTTGAATTTGTAAACTTAAACTCATATGAACTTTGACCTTATACAGCCAGGTTACAGATTTAAGAAGCTGAGTATACTAGAAGGTATATTAGAAGTTTGAGAAAAGGTTAGACTTGTAAAGTCAGAAATTATTCTCACTGTAATTCTGTTCCTCTCCTGGTAAAAAACAACAGGGACAAAGGTCAAAGGTCATTCACCCAGGGTCAAGAGGATATCTTCTTAATTAATTCAATATAACTCATAATGTTTTATAAGTCTGATGCTTTCAGGAATGCATATTTTTAGTATAATTATTATAGAATTTGTGAATATTAGATTAAAGAAAATAATCTGCTTCTTATCTTGTAATGTAAATTTACAACTTTGATGGATTTCATAACAAACAGGAACAAAAAATTACAGCTTTACAAGCTGGCTACAGGTGTACAGGACACACTACTTTGTTTAGAGATTATATAGGACTAATAACTTTGTTTAGCGATTATATAGGACTAATAACTTTGTTTAGAGATTATATAGGACTAATAACTTTGTTTAGAGATTATATAGGACTAATAACTTTGTTCAAAGATTGTATAGTGATTAAATAAAAATTGCTTTTGTTTGGATACAAGATAGACATTTTGGTTAGAGATTATACAGGACAGGCTACTTTGGTTAGAGACAATATAGGACAAATAACTTTGTTTAGAGATCATACAGGACAGAAACTTTTTTTAACTTTATATTGGACATAATAGTTCTAATAATATCATATTTCTGAGAACTACAATTTCCCGTACACATATGAAATAAAGGTTATATAACAGGTTTTTAAGAGAGTTTTATTTTGCTTAAAGGGTTTGTAAGATATTTTATTTACATCTCATTTAATATTCACCATATTACATATTTTACATATAGGATTGGATTGCAAGCATAAAGCTTACATAAGCAGGTAAGGACAATATGATTTTAATTTAGAGGGTAAGTATGATAATACTCAACATTGTTTAGAGGATTTGTATAACAACAACTATCTTGTTACTATGGAGACGATGATATGATCTGTATACATATGAAGGAAATCATACCAGTTTTTTGTCCATTTTTGCCTTAATATCCCTCGCCAGTGTGAAGAAAGCATCCTCTACATTGATGCTGGCTTTAGCACTCGTCTCCATGAACTTGATACCATGTTCTATTGCTAACTGTAAAAACAAACAGTTGTTAACATTCCTAATTCGTAACATTAAATCTCATTTGATAGTTAAGAAATTTCAGCCCTATAGTTTTTCATTATTTAATAATATACATATTTAAATTTCCAAAAATAGAATTATAAACAGAAGTTGTCATTTCCCTTTAACAAAAAAGTAATCAGAGCGATGTCCCTTTTTACCTGTTCGCCCCTCTCCTTGGATACCATCCGCTTGTCATTCATATCACATTTGTTTCCTAAAATCATCTTTTCCACATCTTGGGAAGCATGCTACAAAGATAAATGATATCCAAAAATAGTCCTATATCTCTATGGTATACATATACTGATATATATACGTATATTGATGTGTCCCAACCTGTATTTAAACAAATGCAACCTAAAAACTGTGAAGACGGCATTTCCTCTTATATCTCCAATACATCCCAAAACTCATTAGTTTGGCATGATTTAATTTTTTTCCCATTTTGTCTATTGAAACTTAAGATATCTTGTTTAAAATGTATCAGTGTTTATAATGTTAGATTCTCACCTCCTCTATATTGCGGATCCAGTTTCGTATATTCTCAAATGACTTTTCATTTGTAATATCATATACTAACATTATACCCTGAAACAGAATTAAAGCAGTATTAATATCAATTAGACAGATTTTATACTGAATATAATAATTTTAATATTTTATATCATTACATATTTTTTATACAGAATGTCATTATTCTGATTAAAAGTTCTGTGTCGTCGCAAAATCAATCATTAATATCATTTAGAGCAAAATTTTGAAGAATTCTGTGATTACTTGTGCTTTAGTCAGAATTACACAACTACTACAAACCATAGTCATTACCAAACTAGTAATACACATATATATTTGTAATTATAACACAGAATAATTGATGTATTATATGGTATATGTGGTTGGTTACCATGGCACCCCTGTAGTAAGCTGTAGTTATGGTCCTGAACCGCTCCTGCCCAGCAGTATCCCTGTAAAGTTTGTATAAGTACATATACAAGTTTATAATTGTCTCTGTAAATATGCAACAATAATATCACCAAGTTCACTCAAAAACAGCAGGGTCAATCAAGCCCTCGTACCCTAAAAAGTGAAAATTACCACTCCATTTTTCCATTTATCTTCAATTTACACAGGACGCTACTTCCTCCATCCCACCCACCCAATACCCCTCCACACCCCACCCACCCTGCACTCCTCCACATCCCACCCACCCCGCACCCCACCCACCCCACACTCCTCTACATCCACCCACACGATCACTTTAATAAAACTGTTACTTTTACTGTCAGAGTAATAAAAACTTTACATTTAAAAACAGAGAATATCAACTAGCAAATTGTCATTTAATACCTAATAATCTACTTACCATATTTGTAATTTAATTTTCTTTCCATCAAGTTCTATCGTCCTAATTTTGAAATCAATACCTAAAATGAGAATACATAAACACATCATTATTGAGAGTTTATCACACCTGTTGACTAGAATTGATAGTTTATCACACCTGTTGACTAGAATGATAGTTTATCACACCTGTTGACTAGAATTGATAGTTTATCACACCTGTTGACTAGAATTGATAGTTTATCACACCTGTTGACTAGAATGATAGTTTATCACACCTGTTGACTAGAATTGATAGTTTATCACACCTGTTGACTAGAATTGATAGTTTATCACACCTGTTGACTAGAATGATAGTTTATCACACCTGTTGACTAGAATTGATAGTTTATCACACCTGTTGACTAGAATGATAGTTTATCACACCTGTTGACTAGAATTGATAGTATATCACAACTGTTGACTAGCATTGATAGTTTATCACATCTGTTGACAAGAGTTGATGATGATAAAAATAAGATTTGATGGGTTTTCAAGGCAGGAGAGAAGGCTAGAATAATGAGATTTTTTATAGAATGAGGTGCTGCCAAGGTCTTATTCCATAATCTGAATTGAAAAGTTCCGTAATGTCGAAGCATGCAGATTTCTCTTGGTATTCTTGTTCCCTATTCAAGACTTGCCTCCTTGTGTGCCTCAATTCAGGACGATAAGAGTGATTAATATAAGTTCACATATCGATAAGCAGATGTTGTAACGTCTATTCCCTAAGTATCCATAATATAACTTACTTCATAATTCTTAAAAAAAGTTCAAACTTCAATATACATGAAAACATAGACTACAGAATGAAATTCAACACGGTAAGGGATCCACTTATTATTATTTTCAAATCTTTGATTATGATAGTTTTCATATGAATACTAAACTGATGTACCTGAAGTCTTCAGAATGATCACTATTTACAGTTATATGATCTCTAGCACTTGTGATATCACACCATCCCTGTACCTCATCACTGTATTTTATTGGACTCTGATACATGTAATTAATAACCAAGACTCCAGCTTTTCCTGAGACTTGAGAACCCACTACATCTCTTAGTATTGGTTTAGAATTTATGTTCTTGACTTTCCTTAAAAAATAACCACCTTTAGCAGGTATAAATGTAACCGGGTCATGTTACCTGTGTCAGGTGTGAATACAGGTACATTATACACAGGTATAAACTAGAACTATCTAAGGAAAAGTTACTGGGGATATCTTAGATGTACTAAATAACACAGGATAAAACATAGATAACAAATTGTTATAATTATACCAGATATCTTAACACTTAAGATATCACTTTTAATATTGATCTAGCATCAATTATTACCTATTATGACATTCTTAACGGCCCTTCAACACAAAAAAGGTCATTAGGGCCATCAACCAGTCAAACACACAGTGACCAAAAAGGGAATAACATTAAACAAACCAAAAGGTAAAAGACAAATGTTAAAAATCTTAAATGGGTATGTTAACACAAAAGATTAAAATGGTACGTCATAGTCTATTATATAGACCAACATCTTTCAGGTAATGTAGAATTTCAAAAAATCTCAAACAGTTTCAAAAATGGTTTTTAGACATGTAATTTTACAATAAAAACATTCTCAAGTAGACAGAAGGTCACTGCAGTCCAATAAAACTACATCAAAACTGAAGTTGTATACATGTATATAGTAATAAGTAGGTTTAACTTGATGTGCACTGGTTTGATAAGTACAATAGTAGCAGTAAGTATATATACTTGTATACAGATACAGTAACACTATAATAGACACACAAAAATGCAAGTATTTATACACTTAATGGGGCGATACACACATGTAAATAACTACTGCATGTATATATATGTGATAAAGTTATACGGCAATAATAACCATTTGTAAAGTTTGTCATCAGGGCTTTTTTCATCAATTTGTGAAGAAAATTACCAAAAGGGAAACACATTTTTTATAAAAAAAAAAAAACCCTGATAATCCTGCAATATTTTAGAATTAAATTAGACTAAGTACATGTACTTACACTGACACATAAGATAGGAATTGTTTACATAGAAAATGTACTACTATAAGGCCAGTCACAGTCACAAACCTGGTGAGGTATATCTATATACCTAAAGACATTCCATATAAGGCACACATCATCTGAGCAATCCTATCATGGGGTGTGTCTAATGTATTCAAAAACACGTACTGGCAGTAAAACGACCCATTACTTTTGATATTATACAAAATACAGAGTAAAACATTAGGACCTTAACTCTAACACTCCCGCATAATTCAATACCAACTTGGCTGTGCTCTGTCAACTTTCTGCTGTGAAATGTCTTCTGTATCTCACCGACAGGAATGACAGAACTCACTTGCTAACAATATTCAAAATAATACAACATTTTGTCATTAATAGAATACAAAATGTTAGCAGGAATTTATTTCAATTCTAAATTTCTAAACTTTTGAATTATTTGTTATTCTGCTCTGAATTAAGTATATATCTATAAGTATCTTGTACTGTAGTAATTGAGCCTTACTTTCACTAGCAGGTCATTAAAACTGAAACAGGAAGACCTTGTAGAGAAGTATACAACGCCTCAATAATGTAATGTGTCAATGTCGTATAAACCAGTCATTATACTGTAAAACCATGTACCGCAAGTACATTAAGGATGTCCAGCTCAACTAAATGTCCAGACCAGTCTGATAACTCTAATCTACCTAAATGTAAGACAGTTCTGATGACACTAAACATGTCCAATCATTAAGACAGCTCTTATGTTAATCTGAGTTTATTTCTTACAGCAATATCTCCATTGTGAAATGTTGACAAGCTTGAAGCACGTAACTACAGAAAAACTGTGAAATTTCAAATTGTTTTGCAACATTTCTCTGGAATTCCGTAATTGCTTAAACTTTTCCAGTTAATGTCACCAAGCTTGATAATTTTCCAGACCTTTTACCATGAGATTCAATTTTAAAGCAAAACTAAATATTTATATATATTATATAATCCTTTTTTGTAAAAATCTGTAAACATGTACTGTTATTTACTGTAACATTACTAGTTAAGACACTTTACCCTAATAGTTCAGAAGGCTTGAAACAAACATTTCTCATGTATATGGGTATATGTACAAGGAAACCTTGCCTTAAAATGACCCTGGCCATTCAAAGCATGATACACACAGCTAACACATTGAACTAAATCATAATGTATTTATTCTGATCTTCCTTCATTAACAAGATACTTCCCTTGGTACCTTCTACTACAGAATACCTCCTTTTGATACTGTCAACTATAAGTTATCTCCCCTTAATACACTCTACAACAAATTACATGAAGTTCCCTTATAGAACATGATTTAAAACCAAAATTAATACCTGTATTCTAATTCAGATCTCTAACCTAAGAAACGAAATATTTTTGGAAACAACTGAAAATTGTTACTGGTTACTCAGTAATTACAACAAAATTTTTGTGTCCTCTGGAGCGATATGTAATGATTGTGAAAGTTAAAGACTATTGTACAATGAACCAAGGCCATTTTTGTGATATATAGTCACTTATCACTCAACTTAATTAAGATCGAGTACAACTTTGTGAAAGATTAGCCAAAACATATTTTTCAATGAATATATAAAGAGTGAATACCTTTTAGAAAATTTTGGTGAACTTTCATACACAATACAAATTTTGATGTCAACATTCAAGTTTGGGTAAGTCAACAATACTTATTTGTTGTTGCTTATTTTCAGCCCAAAACAAGCCTTTTCCCCTTTCAAAGACTGTGCTGTTATCCAAAAATGAAGAAAAGTACAGAGAGTCTTCTCAATTTTATGGAATATATTACCTCCGGTACTACATTTTCCATTTTTAAATATGCACAGGCTGCTGTAAAATTTAGGTAGAAAAAGTCCATGTAACAACAAAGCAGATTATCAAACTGCTTGGGAGCAACAATGTAACTATACAGTAGTTAGTGAAAGCTATATAACCAGTAATCTAGCTATTTCAAAGTCAATATAAATTTTTCTGTGATGGTATGTTGAACATGTTATATCAAGTAGTGGACATCGCACTGTTCCATCAGAACATATAAATTACATTGAAGGGACGGATAACAAGTGATGTTTTCAAGTTATTAACTTTATAGTATATAAAAACAATATAAATCTACTAAAGTAAAGCCTTATATCAAAGTCCCTGACTAATCTTCGCAACTAATATGTAAGATGAAGTACGGCATTCCCCAAGTGCATTGATAAAACTAAAGTATAAACGTGTACTTTCCAAATCTTAAAATAATTTTTAACATCTTGATGACTGATGTCATAACGATTCGTCTTATTGTTCACAGAACGGTTAAAACAAAAAATTGTATGTGTGTGGGGAGAGCAACCGCAGGACCAACTGTCACGGAGATTATATAACAACACACACTATAATCTTTAGAGGAGATGTAAATCTCTGGTCTAGACACAACAAACTTCACACGACTGATAAATTCAGGAGTACCTCCTGAAGTTGAGTCATAGGGTTATGGGGGGTTTCACCAAAATCACAAACCTATTGTAGAAATAAAAGTAGAGTTAAAGGCGTCCTCGGAGAAACGGAACAGTACACATGTTTTCCCAACACCAGAATCTCCGATGAGTAACAACTTGAACAAGTAGTCATACGTCTTCGCCATCTTGTGAACCTGTTAAAAACTCAGTAACTAGTCTTTCGACGGATCCACCCTCATTTACATAAAGACGAGTGACGTAGGCGAGGTATCCACTTCCGGGTTCCTCAATCACTACAACGTTTGATACCTACGGCATTTAACACAATGCTACGGAAACGTGTAAGAGGTCATGACGATATACCAGTCGGATAGTCTTTGCAGGTATCAGTCAATAGCTCGAAAACGTAGAAATATTCCGAATAAACCTTGTACAGATAATTGTAAAGTGAAAGTTTAAAAAGACTTTCAAAGTCTTTATTACGTCATAGATTTTAAACGCATGTTAGTAAACGCTATGCACAGTGTGGCGTGTGGACTTCATTGATGTAACTTGTTGATAAAGAACGAAACATCACAGTCACATGAGATGGTAGTAAAGACTATGAGTCATACATTTGTTCACTTTTCAGTTAAATTCCACATTGACTGTTTACCGGTGATATCAGCTGGGGCGTGATACGGCATTGTCATTACAAACAAGGTTTCTGATAAAATCAATTGTGTTGACGGTACATATCCTACAGCTTTGGCTAATACATAATATCACAATAATTACCTTGTTATTGGGGCAATTATGGCAAGGTGTTTTAATGTTTAATCCCATTTCCTCTAAAGAGAATCCTTCACTTGTATGGAAAATACCATAATGCAAACAAATAATTCTACTTAAGGTAAAAAGAATTCCACTTATATGTAAAAATATTACTCACTTAAAGCGATTAAAAATTGTCGACGTAGTCTCCTATCAATCCCAGCTACCCAATCGTTTGTTCAATTCGACTTAACAGAAAAAAGGTTTTCACTCTCGTGTGAAAATGATTTTCACTTCAGTGCCTGAAATTCATTTTGACTTCAGTGAAGTAAAACATAACGTGGAAAAGTTAATGTACGTTAATGCAAAAAGAATATCACTTTAGTGAAAGAGAATTAATACACATTTCACCAAGATTAAATGTTTAACCAGCTTCTCATCGGTAATTACTTCAATTAAACGAAGAGTTTACCACAAACTTAGAGGCTATTTTGTAACCAAAAGTATAATAACACTTAGTGGAGTTTTTGATTGTGACGTCATTATTTCATGGTGTCATATATATATATATATATTGTGACGTCATCAAAGCAACACAAAAAGTATCAACCACAATAATCATGTCAACAGAATCTTAATTCACACTCAAATTTGATTATTTAAAGGAAGGCGAAATAGTAAGAAAAAGAAGAATTACACGAAGACACCTTAATATATGACCAGGCGTTCCGGAAGGGTATCATTATCTCCTGCTTCATTAACGTCAACCGCCATATATATATATATAGGTCAATCTAAATAAGTAATGTCACTTTCTCAAATGAAGACGATTCACAATGGAATGAGCTTAGAACATCCCTAATTCAGATTGATTTATATCAGTCAAATAAATCACGGTTGTCTTTATTATTTTATTTTACTTATGAGATGAACAGAATCTTGCATTCGTTTCCATTTCATGAAAAACTCAAGTAAATATACTGATCCAACATGATTGCCTAGCCAGGGTAAATTGTCGTTCGTGACTGTCAACAGAAAAATAAGTAATTTACGAAAAATACTCGACAATATAATATTTTATTACTCATTAATAACATATTATTCACGTCACCCTAAAGTTTCAAACATTAAGTCCTGTTGTGGAAATGACAAGAGGACATCCTTGTACAACTGTCGCCAATCTCTTATCGTGTAATATCTGGTAATATAGCCTGTCATAATCAAGGATGAATAGGAACGAGGCATCAAAAGCTCATCAATAGAAAACACGTCCTGTTTTATCATACAATTTGCCTGTTATTTTTTGAATTCTACCATGTCATAATTTGTGTATTAGAAACTAGTGTGATTTACCCAGGAGAGTTTTTTTAATTTATTGGTTGCATGGGTCAGAAATTGATTGTGATGTCATACTATAGATGATAGCGTTTCGTTATGATTTCGTGGAATATGAAGCAACAGAATGGCTGACTCCGTTGTCCTTCCCTTCTACCTGTCAACAAGTAACTTTTCTTAGCTACGTGATCAAATAAAGCTTAAAGTTTTCATTTGAGATTTTATGAAATGAAACTTAAGCTTTAAATTTTTGCCAGACAAATTTCATAAAAAAATCAGTATTTCAGTAAATCTCATTGAAGATCCTAAGCATGCACTGCTTCACCCGTCATGTAAACCTTGGTAAGTAATGTCACGTTCTTAAATGAGAACAAGGTAAACAACAACGGAACCAACAGGTAAACAAACGAGTATCAAACACGTCCAGCTTCTTATCGAACAAAGAGTTATAATATGTCTCTCTACTTCTCTATTACGATTGTAACACTTCCTCATTAACATATTAGTTCACAAGCTAAAAAAGCAAATTCAATGTTTACAGAAATTTATATTTCCTGAACGAAAATTTTCCGTTACTGTACAAGACGCTAGTTAGAATCTATCTTGAGTGTACAGTACAGTATACCACCCGATCAAAATATATTGATATGTAGAACGGAGGCCGAGAACTAAACAGTTATCTGTATCAAGGAAATGTCCCATTTATGGACGCAAAATTGTTTAACTAAAGGGAAGTGCTGGCCTCGGTAAATATTCTACAAGATTTGACCATTGGTCACTTTGGAGAGATAAATGGTTACTGAAACTCCAAAAATGCTAATCAATGCGCATTGGCAGGAATAACGACTAAAGAAAATATTATATAAAAACGAAAAATACCAAGATGTCGACAAGGAAAAGGACATAGGAGTAATTACACAATATGGACAGAAGGGCTAACATACACAAAGTATATGAAAAAATCCAACAAATTCTGTGTTTACAGCTTTCCTTTACTGTACAAGACACTAATTACAGTCCATCTTGAGTATTTAGATATGGTAGGACAGCCGTACAAAGTTAAATTTTAATATGTACAACGATAGGCAACTAAACAGAAAATGTCCTATTTAGATAGATTAAGAATGGTTAGATTATCAACACTTTCTTTCAGAAGGATCGATAGGGGAGAGGTTGGGGAGGAGTGGAAAGGGATATGATTGAAGTTTCTAAAATAGCAAGGAATATCTGCGATAGCGAGGTAGCTGGATGACACAGTCCAAATAAAGAGGACAAAAGGGCTTTCACATCAAATTAGAAATACGTATTCGTCTGTGCATAGTCAAAGTAATGCCCCAGAACAAGAGGTTTCGGCACCAACAGTAAATTCATTCAAAAAGAGTTCAGATAAGTTCTGGGACGATCAAGAACATTCATGTCATTTTAATTTTGAAATTCTCTTGAATTAGAATTGTTGTCACAATCTATTTAATGTATTGTTATTCTTGTGTGTTTAAGTCCAGATTTTAAATTATTCCGTACCGGTAATCAACTTAAATCAATGCATTTAATGTCAATAATATATTGTTATAAACCCGAGCGGAAAGACATAACGATGTATTTTTTGTTGAGATAACAGAGTTTGATGTGTATTTTTAGTCATACCCTGACAAATATCAAACCGGGAAGGAAGACATGATTAGTCTCTTCATTTTTTTCTATGGAAATACAAACGGACGATAAACAACATCGGGGTCAACTGTCTGTTTAGTTTTACCGGGGAACAGAGGCGTAACTTTGTGTTTATTAATTAGTACAGATGATTGAAAACAAGACACGTGTCTGTGCCATTCTGTTTACGCCCCTGGATCAAAAGATCGAGGTCATATTGCTTTTGTGTTATCTGTTTGTTTGTCGTCCAATTTAACTTTGCCTATAAATATTGCACCATAAGAGGTAAGGCTTTCATATTTGGCATGACTGTGTCTCCCTTTTGACAAGACCTTTCCGGTGGTACCAATGTTTTCATCGTGTAACCTTGACCATGTCATTTGACTTGCATTTGAACAGTTTCAAAATTGGCCATACCATTGCCTCGTTAAAGGTATAGTTCTCATGTTCCCCCAATTCGTAATTTTGTGGTAAACAGGGACATAGTGTTTCATAAGACAGAACAAATTCGGTTAAAGATAAATATCACCAAGGCTCTGTGATTGTCTATTTTAGAGGTGATCATTATGTTAAGATGTTAAGACTCCTTAAGATCAGCCCAAATTGAGTCGCGGAATTAAGTGATGTCTTATATACCTTATATGGAAGTATTGATTTATCTATAGTCTGTTTATATTACATACAGAGGAGTATTTTACTGATTAAATAAACAGAGAATGATTATTAAAGACAAAGATGATTATTTGGTTTATCAAACATAAGTGATTATTTGTTTTATCAAACATAAGTGATTATTTGTTTTATCAAACATAACGGATTATTTGGTTTATCAAACATAACGGATTATTTGGTTTATCAAACATAAGTGATTATTTGGTTTATCAAACATAAGGTTTATCAAACATAAGTGATTATTTGGTTTATCAAACATAACGGATTATTTGGTTTATCAAACATAAGTGATTATTTGGTTTATCAAACATAACGGATTATTTGGTTTATCAAACATAACGGATTATTTGGTTTATCAAACATAACGGATTATTTGGTTTATCAAACATAAGGGTTTATCAAACATAACGGGTTATTTGGTTTATCAAACATAACGGGTTATTTGTTTTATCAAACATAACGGATTATTTGGTTTATCAAACATAAGGGATTATTTGGTTTATCAAACATAACGGATTATTTGGTTTATCAAACATAACGGATTATTTGGTTTATCAAACATAACGGATTATTTGGTTTATCAAACATAAGTGATTATTTGGTTTATCAAACATAACGGATTATTTGGTTTATCAAACATAAGTGATTATTTGGATTATTTGGTTTATCAAACATAACGGATTATTTGGTTTATCAAACATAACGTTATTTGATTATTTGGTTTATCAAACATAAGTGATTATTTGGTTTATCAAACATAACGGATTATTTGGTTTATCAAACATAACGGATTATTTGGTTTATC